CTTCTTCCACCAACTCTTCTCCTGGTCTCGGATTCTGCCAGTCATTTCCGCCAGTTCCATATAGTATATCACCTTCATCTGCCATTCTTCCAGGGTGGGTAGATCTTGTGTCTTCCAATACTTTGCAATGAGTATTCTTGCTGCTGTTGTAGCATACCTAAAGAAAGTTCTATCCTTCTTTGGCACCAATTGGCCAACCATGCCCAGGAGAAAGGCCTCTGGTTTCTTCAGAAAGGTATATTTAAATACCTTTTTCATTTCATTATAGATCATCTCCCAGAAAGCCTTAATCCTTGGGCACGTCCACCAAAGGTGAAAGAATGTGCCTTCAGTTTCTTTACATTTCCAACATTTATTATCGGGCAAATGATAAATTTTTGCAAGCTTGACTGGTGTCATGTACCACCTGTATATCATTTTCATAATATTCTCTCTTAAGGCATTACATGCCGTAAACTTCATACCTGTGGTCCATAACTGTTCCCAGTCAGCCATCATTATGTTATGTCCAACATCTTGTGCCCATTTAATCATAGCAGATTTCACCGTTTCGTCCTGAGTATTCCATTTCAACAGCAAGTTATACATCTTTGACAAAATCTTGGTTTTGGGTTCTAACAGTTCTGTTTCCAATTTTGATTTTTTCACCTGGAAGCCAATTTTCTTGTCCAAATTATATGCCTCCATTATCTGATAATAATGAAGCCAATCTCGCACTTTATTTTTTAGTTTTTCAAAACTCTGCAATTTCAATCTGTCTCCCTCTTGTTCCAAAATTTCCCAATATTTCAGCCATTTGGCCTCCATATTGAGCTTTTTCAAAGCTTTCGCTTCCATCGGTGACAACCACCTTGGGGTTTTATTTTCAAGTAGGTCCTTGTATCTTATCCAGACATTAAACAATGCTTTCCTGACAATATGATTTTTAAATGCTTCATGTGCTTTGACCTTGTCATACCACAAATATGCATGCCATCCAAATACATTATTAAAACCTTCTAAATCCAAAATGTCTGTGTTTTCAAGAAGTAGCCACTCTTTCAGCCAGCAAAAAGCTGCTGATTCATAATAAAGTTTAAGGTCTGGCAGGGCAAATCCACCTCTTTCCTTTGCATCCGTTAGTATTTTAAATTTTATTCTAGGCTTCTTGCCCTGCCAGACAAATCTAGAAATATCTCTCTGCCACTTCTTGAAACAATGGCATTCTCCTTTCCTGCCAAGTTTGTCGTTGTAGCTTATATTTGTTTCCCTGCACACTAAAATGGCTGCAGCTTCGTTGAAAGTTGCTCTCATTCTGAAATCTAAAATGGAGCCTTTGGGTAGAGAGCCCAAGATCAGGTTGAAAGGGACCGAGCATGCCACACGATGCACGCACTCAAGATGAAGGGTGTCATAATCACAGTGACACGCAGGAAAAGATTATTTTAACAAAGGCTTGGACCTGCCTCAAGGAGCAATTCAACAGCTACTTACCTTCAAGGGGACCATGCCATTCCTGAACCATCATTGAATAGCCACTTTAGGATTATCTAAGAAGTGCTCTTTCGAAGCCATTTCAATCCAAGTCATTTCAACAAGCAAGCAAACAAATAAAAAGCTTACCAAGGAAGCATTTCTCATCATCCACTTTCTGTTCCCCAATCATATTGCATTGACTGCTTGAATACTGTGTCACTTCTCTACATTTTACTTCAGTCTACTTGGAAGCAGAAACTTCCAAATGGCCCATATTAACTAAAGCCTAAATTAGAAATACAATGGCCAAACTGCAAAATGACTGGCCAAGACACAAGCAGTCTTAAAAGGCTTACCAAGCATACCAATTATACCAAGGTAGGCAGGCAATGAGCTGCTGACTCTGCAATACACAGGAGGTAAGATTACTTGCTAGTCTCCTTCACCAATGCAATCCATTCTGGAATCACACTGTAAGCAGGAGCTGGGCTCATTAGACATTAGAGCTGCCCTTCTTTAATGCAGGGAGAATTAAACCACTGTAACAGCCTGTGCAGGGACGCGGGTGGCGCTGTGGGTTAAACCACAGAGCCTAGGACCTGCCGATCGAAAGGTCGGCAGTTCGAATCCCCGCGGCGGGGTGAGCTCCCGTCATTCGGTCCCAGCTCCTGGCAACCTAGCAATTCGAAAGCACCCCTAAGTGCAAGTAGATAAATAGGGACCGCTTTCTAGCGGGAAGGTAAACGGCGTTTCCGTGTGCGGCGCTGGTGCTGTCTCGCCAAATGAAGCTTAGTCACGCTGGCCACGTGACCCGGAAGTGTCTTCGGACAGCGCCGGCTCCCAGCCTCTTGAGCGAGATGAGCGTGCAACCCTAGAGTCAGTCACGACTGGCCCTGATGGGCAGGGGTACCTTTACCTTTACCTTTAACAGCCTGTGCAGGGTAGTCACAGAGTGTTGGGACTACAAGTCGGAGACCCAGGTTCAAAACCTCATTCAGCCATAAAACTCACATTAGAATCCAGTCACTATCTAACACCTCCCACAAGCCTTGTTGTGAGGCTTGTTTAAATTGGAGGTGCGAGCAGACCACTTGGCCTCATTGTACTGAAGTTGGATATAAACGTATTAAACAGCAATAAATTGAAAGACAGGAGGAGGAGACCAGGTTTCATTATGTGGCAATCTAGTGACCCTTTTGAGGACCAAGCATAATCTTATGGTAAGAAGTGTTGCTTTATATGAGTCAGACAAGTAGCTCATCTATCTCTGTACTGCCAAAAGAACTAATATAACCTGCACCATGATGATTGCAAGCTGCTGGGCTCTCGTACGAATATCAGGACCATGTGGGTGGGTCTTTCCCATGGAATCAGCACATTTCTATATCTGTTTGTGATTATTTTTAAGTCTGCATGAAGTTTAGTAGAACTTCCTTCATTTCTTCATGTAATCTTGCCCAGTATAATGTAATTTTGTATGTTATTTTCACTAATATATTCAATTTTATGCGCACCTTACCCCAGTATATGCATTTTTTTGTACATGTTACTTGACCACAAAACTGCATTGCAAAATTCAGAGAGGTGCAAATTTCAAAGGATGCTTGTGTTTCAGGCATCCTAATTCGTTTAGCTGCACCAATTATGTAGGTTCACCTTTACATGTAAACTGATTTTAATTTCTCCCCCATCCCTATTGGTAACAGAAGGGGGGGGGCGGAGTACAAAGAGACTGAAAAGTGTGGCATGTTCCACTTTTGGAATTAATCTGAACATTCTCCTAGTCAAACTAGAATTCAGGTATGGAATGCAGGGCAGGTCAAACCCATTACATTTCTAAAGGCACAGGAGTCTATCCCTATGTCAGAATACAAATTCATGAAAGATAAAGCTATCCATGGGTACTAGTAATTATGGCTATATTATCTCCAGTTCTGAACACCAGGACTATGCACCAGATTCAGCCAAGGTCCAAATCCAAAGCCTGATCAAACCTATTCAGACGGATTCAGGCCTTGTTCAAGTCAGGTTGGCACAGCCTCAGATTGCTGCAGCCCAGTTTGAGTGTCCCACCCAAGGCTCTCCTGGTGTCATGCAAGAAGGAGGGCCTGGCATAAGTGAGAAGAGGGCCAAGAAACTGTGGAAAAGTGAGGACAATTGGATGGCTGCATCTTCACAGGAGAAGGTTGAGTGCCTTTCCCAGCAGGCCTCTATTCCTTCATGTTTCTGCTCCCGTTGCAGAATCAGATCTACCTTGCATGCATGGGAAGCCACTCACAAAGGTGCAGCAACCAGCACTGTACAGGATCCACCTACTGTTAAATGAGTGGATCTGGTCCTGTGCACCCCACCTAACTTTTTTTTAAAAAAGAAAGACCTTTGAAACCCCTTAGCACCATTACCCCCAAATGAATTTGGGGACAGGTTTGGGGTGAGTAGATCCCAAGGCAGCATAGGGTGAATTGGCCTGATCCAGAGGCCAAATATTGGGGCCACAGGATGGACTAGGTGCAATGCGTCATAACACATAGACTACATTTTGTAAATTAAGAGCACAATCCTATATATGTGCATTGAATTCAATGGTGCTTGCTCGCAACTCCCAGCTAAGAGTGAAGAGGACTGTAACTTAACACACACACACTCCTTAAGAGTAACTGCTGCCAGGCAAGGACTATCAACCACATCTCATTTTCTTCCTCTTTTTGTAGCAGGCTGGGGCTGTATATAAACTGTCACATTGAAAAGCACTTTGTTTATATAGATGCTTTGCACAGTGAAAGCTTCCAGATTAAAATTGTAAAGTGCATTTTACCTCTCTGCTAGTCTTAATTTTCTATTATGGAGGCATTCTTTCTGATAACATATCACATAGCCTGTAGAATCTTAGTGCAGGCTTGTCATAATATCTACATTTCCCCCAGGGCTCTTAAGACATATTAAAATCTGCCTTCTTTCTTGACATTACTAATATCTAGAAGTCTGCAGGTTTTGCGTTACATTGAATCTCTTGCCTTTCTAGCAATACACTTAACTGCATTATTTGTCAGAAATACCTTGTGGCACATATTCAGGAAGCCACAGACTGAAATACGAATGCCGGGGCGATCATGAAGCAGTTAAAGTAATGATTGTTCCCATTTTACTGTTTTTCATTGCATTTCAAATGATAATGCCATTCAGCTTGCACCTTTAAAAGGAGGCTGCCTGGACACCTGAAAGATTAAAAACAACAGGTGGGACATAAATTCATTAGTCTGTGCTCCATCATTGCCCTAGATTAATAATAGACTTCTCTTACAATAGAATCTCTCATTATTTTTCACTTTTCTCCTGTCCTTCCTTGTCTGTTCTATATGACTATCCCTTTCCTTTTCAACAAGGTTCTTTATTCGCTTTCTATTTTAGTCAACTTTCTATTTGCCTGCAAGTATTACTCCATTATTTCAGAGCATGGCTTTTTGCCCTCCGATTTCTCCATCTCCTTGACTTGGAAAACAGGCTAACTTGCACACCTTTTCACAAATACGGTTTCACATTCTTCATTAGCTCTGCATTTTGCTCCCCTCCTTTCTGTCATTAATCTCCTGTGATGTCCTACCTAGATGGAAACACAGACAGGCATATACATAACTACCAGTGTTCCACTCTGCATCTCCACACAGCATACACATGTTCTTAATTTAGATGCATGTATTAATTAAAGGCAGTAATTCAATTACAAGATAACTGCCTTACAGAGAAATAGTGGGGCTGTGCAGTGTGAACTGGGCCTCTTATGCACTGCATTCTTCCCATCACCTGGAAACTAATTAGCAGGACATAATCACATACTTCCTGTTTAGCAAACACACTGGTCTCATAGGAGCAAATGATTTGTATCCTGAATCACTAGCCACTGCTTATTTGTAATTATCATATAAATGAGAGGCTTCGGATGACCTCCTATTCCTCATCCATTTTCTTAGACAATGAAGATTCACTCATTTCACCAGGGTGTGTGTGTGTAGACCTGAGGCAATTTGAATTATTTAGCCCCTTGGAACATTTTTAGATTACTCGGAAAGGGCTCTACTGCTAATATTAGCAAAACTAGGCTAGTAATTTTTAATACTGAGTCACATAAGAATATCAAAAATGAGAACGGGCAATTTATGCAAATGAAATTTCATAGGTGTCTGCTGGCCTACTGTTAATACATTTTTTATTTTTATTTTTATTTTTGCAATGTCTTACAGCAGTAAGGGGCATGTTTGAGCAGTAGTTACTTTTCCACAGGCAAGTTAACAATATATGCCTAACTTCCTTTTCCAAACAATTTTGAGGGGGTCAGAAAGATTTGCTTGCAATCTCAGTTCAGGCAGGTCACCGAGTCCAGCATCCAAAGCAGCACAAATTAATGAGGTATCTCTGAATTTTAATAATTTGAGCCCCACAGCCCTGCAAAGTTCATACAGTAGCTGACAGCAAGGCAGCCAGGGAGCAAATCAAAAGGCAGCAGAAACCAGGCATCACACCTCACAAGTGACTGCTGCCGAAGAGGGGAGCACAGGGGTGCCAACACCTCCAGCACAACTGTGATTCCTCATGCCAATTATATATGACAACAAAGGAAAGAGAGAGACCAGCAGGCTTCATCTTCTCAATTGGCCACCTACTGGTAGCCGACTGTGAAACACCACAAAATGGAGGACGCCAGAGAGTCTCTTGACCTGCTTGTTACCAAACTCTGTAACTCAATAGGTTTCCCATATGAATGACTGCATTGTGCCAGACTGCTTTTAGGTGAGGTTGCTGGGTCTACAAGGCTCCTGTAAAAAAGTGGAATGAAAGGTGGAAATTCCACCAGGCAGTTTCTCAGAACATCACAGCACTTGGATGCTCAGGGTGGCCATGGGCCCTACTTTATAGGGTACAGTCCTCTATTTGAAGGGCTATTTTTCGATTTCATTGTTCTGTATGGGACAATGACAATAAAGATATCTATCTATCTATTTTAAGTACAAAAAGAACCATAGTCTGAATTTTTGATGAGCACCTAATATGTACTTTTTTCCAATGGCATTCTCCAGTTTTAATATGACTGCTAGCCTTTCAATGTGCCTGATTTTTTAGTTGCTTTAACTTCTACATTTTTAAATTTGGAGTTTATTAGAACATAGTTTATTGTATTTTTTCATTTGCCATAATGATTATTTAATAGGTAGGATAAGAAGACAGAAAGTCCTCTCAGGGTCTAGACCTATCAACTCTGTCTTAAGTTTAGCTCATAGTTAGCTCCATGAAGTTTGAAGTTTTGACAGTTAATTAGCAAAACATGAGGATGCATCTTATCAATTATCATTTAAGAATGCAGAAGCACATCTTATTCTAGATCCTACTGCCCATTCTGCTTTGTCAAATACCTGAGTGAAGTTGCAGGTCCTGAATGAAGATAAATCTCAGCAGAGCTATCAACGTTTTAACAGGCCTGCTTCCTGTGCTTCTGTAAAAAGACACAGGATACAGTTATAATGCTGGCAACCTTGTACTTGAACCAAGTTATTGCATGTTTATTCAGAAGTATGTGCACATGGTTCAAATGGGACCAACTTCCAAGGAAATGTCATATGAGCTTCAAGTAAGTTGTGTGTGCACTTAAGTAAACAGACAAATATGTTTCTGTTCTATAAGCAATGAAAAAGGCATGTGGACTCATGACCAAATGGGCTTACTCACATGAAACTGGGTATAGGATTGCTACAAAAGGCTGCATTATTTATACACTTGCCTGGAAGCACATCTCACTGAACTCAACAGGTCCTACGTTTGCAAAGGATTAGATGGTTAATTAATCAACAAATAATCCAGAACCAACTCAATGCAACTTAAAAGGATAATTCATGTATAAGAGCATGAAGACTTGGGCCTCTGGCTTGTCACACCGTTGTAGCTACACAGTCCCTTCTGCTTTCCCCCTTTCTCCCAATTCTCTTTAGGACAACATATTTTTTTAAAATCTGGTTGTCACACATACAGTGGTACCTCGGGTTACATATGCTTCAGGTTACATACGCTTCAGGTTACAGACTCCGCTAACCCAGAAATAGTGCTTCAGGTTAAGAACTTTGCTTCAGGATGAGAACAGAAATTGTGCTCCAGCGGCGCGGTGGCAGCAGGAGGCCCCATTAGCTAAAGTGGTGCTTCAGGTTAAGAACAGTTTCAGGTTAAGTACGGACCTCCAGAACGAATTAAGTACTTAACCTGAGGTACCACTGTACAGTTAAAGAAATCTTCCAAAATATTCGTCTTCTTGGTAACTACTTCCTGAGTTGGATTCAGAACAAGAAACTTAGTCTAATAGTATTTCCTTGTCCATCCACCATCTTTCTAGTAACCTTTTCCTGCTTTCTCCTTGAACATAATTCAAGTCATGAGAGTCAGAGTACAGAAACTCTAATGGGACAAACTAGTGACCACATCAACTGCAGTTATAAAGGCACAACACCTTTAAAAGCAATCATTAAAAGTCTGGACATATCGAATCAATTTCTGTACAGTATACTGGAACAAGATCACTCAGAGAGATAATTTAATGTATATTATTAACCAATGCTGTTTTTGTTAATGTGTTTATTTATTTATTTTACTATTATATATGAAAAGGCCAACTTAAATTACTGGGCAATTTCTAAATCTAGTTAAAACGAGATCGCTATCTGACCACAAGTCATGTAGCCAGAATTTATTAGCTACCGAAGGCAAGCACCTTAAGATCTAATGCAGCTTTTAATTAAGAGGGGGGGGCATGTTGCCAGCCAGATTTAATGGAATTGGATCAAAACCAGAACTCAAAGGCCAATTAACAATTTATGTAATGAAGGAAGAAACATTTCTAGCACTCTGCTGCAGAATGGGAACAGGTCAGAGAACAACAGAACACACTTTCCCTTTTATTATGTTTACTGATTTTTCTTCTCAAAGGAGAGATGTTGCAACATGCACATTTCCTTTATGTGTGGACGAAGGTCTGGCTGGCATTGTTAAAGCCCTGTAGAATCTTATTTTTAAAGGTTACAAAAAAGGAAAACTTTAATATAGAAATATACCCCCCAAAAAGCTTGCAATATTTCACAATGAAAACAGAGATATTTGTGTATTTTTAACCCATCCTTGTAATACCTTAGGTCCCTTCCCTCAGCATCTTCTACCTACCTACCTTGAGATGAGATGAGAATTCTTAGAAGACATTTTTTACTAAAAAAAATAAGGTTCGGATTTTTCCTCTTTTTTTGACTCCCCCAAAAGAAGCCCACTCTACAGAATTTCCCTGAATATTCCCCACCACTTTTCGTGGCTGCCACCATTTGTTCTGCCGCAGCGCTCCACCATGTTGCGAAGTCCAGGGCACTGTGGAGAATGCAGAAATGGTCACTAGACTACAAACACAGTTGCTGCTGCTGTCATATGTAACGTAAGAACATAAGAACCTGTTGAAGCAAGACAATGATCCATCTAGACAAGCATCCTGAGGCCAGCTAGATGCCTGTGGAAAACCCACAAGCAACAGCCTTCCCCCCCTCCTGTAGTTTCAAGTAACTGGTATTCAGAAGCATTACATCCTCTGACCATGGGGACAGAACATCCCCTTATCATCCATGATTTAGTCTATCCTTCCTTGAAAGCTGCCCAAGTCAGTTGCCAGCGCTTCCTGCTATAGGAGCAAGTTCCTTAGTTTAACTAGACACTTTTATTTGACCTACATCTTCCATCATTCAGGTTCATTCAGCGTCTACAAGTACTAGTATTATGAAAGAGGGAGAAAAGCTCTTCTTTATCCACTTTCTCTATACCTGGTATAATTTTAAATTCTGTCATGTCACCTCTTATTCACCTTTTCTCCAAGCTAAAAAGTCCCAAACGCTGCAACCTTCCCTCATATTCCACACCCATGGTTGTTCTGTTTGCCCTTCAATGAACCTTTTGCAGCAACACGCTATCATTTTGGAGGTGAGATAATGGCACGCAGCAAATACGGTCACACCACTGATTTGTATAACAGCATTATTATATCAGCAGTTTTATTTTCAGTTCGTTTCCTAATGGTACCTAGCATGGAATTTGCCTTTTTCATGGCTGCCACACACTGGGTCGACATCTTCATCAAGCTATGTACTATAACCCCAAGGTCTCATTCCTGGTCAATGACTGCCAGTTTAGACCCCATGAGTGTATATGTGAAATTAAGATATATATTTTTGCCCCAACATGCATCATGTTACACTTGTTTACACTGACTTGCACTTGTCATTTTCACACCCATTCACAGAGCCTGGAGAGGCTCTTTTGGAGCTCTTCACAATCTCTTTTTGGTTTAACGACCCTGAACAATCTAGCATTATGAGCAAACATGGCCATCTCACTGCTGACTCCTAATTCCAGATCATTTATGAACAAGTGTAGTCACAATAAAATAAAACTAAAAGGTTTGGGGGGGAGGAACAAGAGAGTTATACTACTGTCCATGCTAATGGTGAGCCCCATCTCCCACAAAACTGTTGGAGAATTTGTCCTCCCCCACCCAGTTTCTTTGCCCAGAGGCAGAGGCACCAACTTTACAAGATGATTGAGGGGCCCCGCCACAATGTCCTGACATCACAAGGAACCAGGAGGTAGGACCAAATGCCTTTTGAACATTGAAGGGGGCTGCCCCCCTTAAAAAATGGCTGGGGGAGAAAATGCCTCAGCCCCTAGGAGCTGGTATCTATGCCCAGAGGCTACTCTGTCACTTAGGGGGCATTACATTACATTACATTACATTATTGTGATGAACTCCATGATATTTGAAGGGGAATATGTGCCTGCAGTCACAAAGGAAACATGCTTCTACGTGTTACAATAAGTGCCAGAGCATGTATTTTTAGACACGTGTCTCCCTTTAAAGTATTACAGTACTATTTTTGGTGCAAACCACAGAGACGTGGTTTATACCACTTTTCTGAACACCACATATCTGATGACAATGATATATCGATTTTTAAAGGGGGGAAAGAACAAACAGGAGAATCACTTAAACACATTTGCATTGAACTTTACAGTACATGTAAAGAACTAGTGACCTTCCTTTATTGACAGTATTACATGTTTGTTCCTTCATGCTCCATGCATTCTCCAGAATTTGGACTTGAACAGAAATAAAAGGATAAAACATGATTGGTCTATGCGTATTATTCTGAACTGAGATCCAGTAGCTTTTTCTATACAAAATATATCTGTCATTATTTCAAAGCACGTGTTAATAGTATCTTTCATGAGGAATGCCAATAAGTGAAAGCCCAACATATAAAGTTATTACACCAGAGTACAAATTTAAAGCCTGACTTTCACCCAATCAACTTTCACGAGGGCAGGCAAACAATGAAAAAACAGGTTGCAATGTGTATGAACTTTGCAAATAAGGCACAAAAGTAAAAATGAATTTTTACTCAAAAATAAGTCTTGCTATGTTCAATGGGGTTTGCTCCAAATTAGGTGTACGTATAGCTGCAGCCTTGCAGTGTAATCCTAAGCATGCCTACTCAAAAGTAAGTCCCACTAAACTCAGTGAGGACTCATTCTTTGTATGTTTAGGATTGCTTAGTTATTATTTGTCAATTGCCTAATTGTCTGGTGGCAACTGTTACTTGCCACAGGGAGTCAAGTGAACAGCTTTTATGAGGTTTGTCACACATGTTGGAAAACAGTAGCATTTTTCTTTTCCTTAATATAAGGATGTCAAGAAAGACCCATTTCCATATATCTGCATCCCAAGCTTGTGTTTTATTCTCAGTGCCTTCTGGATATGCTCAGCATAGGAGCATGTGTGTGCTATGCAGGGTGTCTAAGCTTGGCCTCCCTTCAGCTTGGTTAATTACAAGAGGTTAAGCAGATACTTAGCATTCTGTCCCTCATAATTATCTGGTGTATGAATCCAAGCTTAGTGCTCATTATTGCCAATGTACTTGAAAATGTACTCTGTTGTCCTCAGACAGATTTCAACAGAGGAAAAACCTTCCATCAGGGACTTTCAAGTCATCTAGGAAATGATCTTCTCAAGAAGGCCATAGAGGAAAGGACCACCTTTCATTTTAGGCCACTCAGAAATCACTATCCACCAACACTCCTAGGCCACCAACGGGTAAACAAGTGATCTCTCTGTTCCTTATGCTACCTTGGTAATACTTAAGGTCATTGACCATTCCATCCACATTCCAAACACCAGCATATTAACTAATGCCATGTACACTATCACTTGCCATCAATGCCCTTCAGGAGTTTTCATCAGCCAAACAAGAAAGTCACTCTGCACAAGAATAAACGGGCAGTAATCTGACTTTCAGAATAGAAATGTACAGACACGAGTCAGGGAACATTTTCAATCTCCCCAAACATTCCCTTTCTGACCTCAAGGTCACTCTACTTAACAAGACCATTTCAGAGGGCAATTGGAATTCATTCCAGTATTCGATTTTATTTCCCAGGGTTTTTAACAAGGATTATGGGTTATATTTTATCACTAGAAAAACAAGAGTTTTCTATTTTAAGTATAATCTGATAACATTCTTTATATGTTTAGTGCTTCAGCACCGATTCACATTATCTATGGTTTTCACGTTGTTAACTTGGGCTGTTCTTCACTGTACCCCCTCAACCCCACATGCATAGACATCTCTTTCTCAGTCCATTTCACTCATGTGATGAAGCAAGAAGTTGCCTATGAACATCCATGCTGCAATGTATCAATTTGAAGACTTTGTGTCTTTTAATACCTGTGCAATCACTACAGGAGAATCTCAGTTTCTGTTGCTTTACAATAAGGAGGGCTTGAACAACCTGACCGAATTTCAGAAGACCAATATGAGTCAGAGGAGCTGAAATAAAACCTCGTTCATTTACCTTTCCTCTCTATGATTTAGGCTACCTGGGTCAGATCAGTTAGGTATCTGCCAAACTAAACACAGTGTAACTCAGAGACGGCCTGGGAAATGGTTTTTAACCCTTCCTGCAGCTTATGGATTGAGAATAGGTAATGTTTTCGATGTATGTGTAATCAGTCAGGTATTCATTACAGACAAAGGCAGAAATATTTCTCAGCTCTCTTCCAAGTAGAACAAGCATCATTAGTGTACTTAGGGCACTTGAAACACATCCAAACATGGTAATGTGTTTTAAGCTGATAAAGGGTACACCAGTGGTTGTGGTGCTAAACCTGCAATCAATGCTAGGTATATTCTGAGGAGGAGGAGGGGAAGAAGAATGAGGGGGAAGGGGGAGAGAGAGGAGCCTTTCACTACCGTGGCTGGTTTTGAGCAATTATTTATCCCTTCTGCTGAGAGGTACTAATACATTTGGATAATTATTTTATTTTATTATTTTATTTTATTTTATTTTATTTTATTTTATTTTATTTTATTTTATTTTATTTTATTTTATTTTATTTTATTTTATTTTATTTTATTTTATTTTATTTTATTTTATTTTATTTTATTTTATATACATACCCCACCCATCTGGCTGGGTTGCCTTGGCCACTAGCAGTAATGATCCTGAGGGAGTAAGGACAACTGACCCCAGCACTCTGGAGAACATGAATTTGTTGGCTTCTTGAATCAATGGCCGCTTCAGAAAACAGTAGATAGAGTCCTAAGAAGGTTGTGATTCTTATTGTTTTAATTTGATTGCTGAAGTACTGTAGCTTGGAGCTTGAGAATCCACCCTTCTTGCTTTTATGTCATGTTGCTCAAAAAGTCAATTTTGCCAGCTGAGCAACAACCACATGTTCTTGGTAACTCAACTTCCTGCACTTTTGGTAATATTTGGTAATATCTAAAGTGAGCAGAGCATCATTTGATCTGGCCAAGGCATGTGCTAGTTAAGAGAAGCAGAGGCAATTTTCACAGAGTCCCCTTCCTTTTGCAGCCTCCTCCACTCCAAATAGCCTGGAAGATGGCACAGTGGTCTGCAGGGAGAGCTGGGAAAAATGGCTCCCCTTCTCTTATGTGTTCAGACTCTTACACTAGATCAAAAGTCATTCAACAAGGAGAATAGTAGCACTGGATTTCACCCAATATTTTCAGGGTGTGGAACTTAGCAACAGTGGCCTTTAAAATAGCAATAACCACAACACACAGTTAATGACTTTTGCCCTGGAAAGTCACATAACAACTAACTTTCAAGATAAATTATTTCTAATTATAGAAGAGACTCATTTTCAAACCTGAGTCGCTGAATCCAGTCATATGAAATACACTCCGGAATGCATATTTCAGGCATTTCCAAAATGTAGCCAAATGGTTTCTTCCAATATTAAAATAATACATCATTGTTAAGTGACTATTAGGTACCACAGATTTACAGCACAATTCATTGAGGCCTTAAGCAGCAAAATGATGTAATCAATGGACAAATTCTCACATTCCTACTAGTACTAAATAACATCCTCAATTTCCTAAGACAGAGAAAACAGCTGCAGATGGTCTTGAAGGCAAGTCTAGTAAAAGCTTCTACAATCACTCCAGCCTAGTGAAAACAGTCATTAAAAAGCAAAACAACCCGAATGCAGGCAAAGAGTAGACAACACAATGCTCCTTAGATATGCAAATGATTTAATTCAAACCCACCCAACAAAATAAATTAAAAACAGGGGAAATCCAGTTGGACCAAATTCTAGAACAAATTTTACTATTCTTGAATCAGAGTCAGGATTTCTCAATAGTAAGGGAAAACACACACACACACACGAAAATCATTGCTCATCTTTCTGCAGATGAACGTAAATCAACAGCAAATGTTTTAATGCACACATGACTGAATGTGGCAACATTCCATTAATTACACATATACCATTATAACTCCTTGTTTTGGAGTCTGATGTGGCTTTTCAAGCAATTAGTTTGGGTCCCCTATGAGGACCATGAAAAAGATCACAAAGGATGTTTAATTTATTTTTACATAAGATGACTTTAATGCTCACAAAGTGCTGGGTTGCTATGTAATGCAGGGGTGGCTAAGCTTTTCTGCCCCAAGGGCCACATTCGTTCTCTGCCAACTCTCCAGGGTCCACATGTCAGTGGTGGATGTGACCACCCCCCACTCACACATGCACACACATTTGACATACATACAGATAAGCTGAGTAAGACACATTATTGCACCTCCATGCTCATTAAAAGACTGATTTGATGACCAAGGAGGCGGTGATTTGCATCCCCATCAGGATGCTGGGATTTAGATGTCTCTGGCTCCCCCAGTGCTATGTCTATTTTCAAAAAAAGAATTATTGTGCTGCCAACATCAAGTTCAATGGGGCTTTATGTTGAGGCATGGGCATATCAATACCTAATAGTTTCCTCAGAGTTTGCAAGCATACCCCACACTGTCCTCAGCAAGATAATCCTCTCTATAATTGCAAAGCACATTTTAAATACACACACAAAATAATCTGATGCCATCATGATGTGGGATTCCTCACCTCTATTGGTAGAAGCCAATGTTCCAACTCATGTCAGGGGCTTAAAAATTGGCCTACACAGGATTGCAATTCTTGGCTATGCAAATCAGCATGGCACACCTAATGTAGAGAGTAACTCCATCTTGAATAAGCCTTCCTTAGGTATGCTTTCAAAGCAAAAATAACAAAACAAGCAAACACGGAAATACTGGAAATATCCAACAGTGTAAGTATACACATGAGATTTATGAATGACTCGGAGGGTTCTCACATCTTCAGCTTTTCCACACAGGCATCAGCTGTAATCCCACTGGCCCACCAAACCCCTCTCACAGCCCACTGTTATGTAACTATAGGATCAGCTCTTTCCTTCATCACTACTCTTGCTCAACACTAGCTGCAGGCAATGCTGGAAAATCAAAAACCCATTCTGTGTTAGAGGAAGAGGGCAATTCCAAGTCAGCCTTGTTTTTATCATGTCAGGAAAGACATGTGGATGTAGAACTGGATGGCTTGAAGGACCTGATGATGAGGTATATTCAACCCGCCTGCAATGAGAAAGGCTTCTTGAAACATAAACTGTTCCAGGAAATGTAACCCATATCATCCGTTATACAGATCTGCACACAGACAGCTGTTACAGGTCAATAAATAGCTATGCTAAAGAGGATAGCTGGGTGGGGAATCTCTGTTTAAGTACTCAAACAAATATAGATGCATCAAGAAAGCATCAGAACACCTTTTCAGCCAGTCTGTTATTCAATAAGAAGAAGCAATTCCTTCTTGAACATAGACATGACCTTAGGAAATCCCTTAGCAATCCAGAAAAAATCAATTAATTAAACAGCTGCAGTTTCTTAGCGGTTTCAAACAACTCCATCTTCATTAATATTCAACCTCCAGTTGGGTGCCACATACATACATACATACATACAGTATGAATCTCCTATCAACAATCATGCACATAAGATAAGCTTGATGTTACTTTCAGTTGTCTTTTAAAAATAAGAATGAAGGCATATAGGCAGACAGAGGAAGACTGTATCCTAATCCATCAATATTTACACTGCCCATTGTATAAACACACAAAACCCACTAAGTTCAGTTATCTTTTATTTCTAAGTACAAATGTTTGAGGGAAAATATTGGTTATAATTACTTAATTAACCTACACCCATGTGGGTGTTATTTAAGTCCATTCTTTTCAATAGGTCTTATCTGAATATGACTAAGCTGAGTATCACCCCACAATTCCTACAAGAGTGTCTCATTTGGAGGAAATTTCTCTATACTATATTAGTACTTCCACAAGCAGAAGATCAGGTGATTTTTCTTTTCTTTAAAGCTGCACTTTACTATTTGCACAGACTCATTTTCTCACATTTCCCAATTTCTTTCACAACAGCTTAAACAGAGACCTTTTAAAAACACTCCTTAAAGTTTAAATGCTGAATTTAGAGAATATGTACACTGCTTCTTTACAACGATGTTTCACACTATTCAGAAGCTTTCCCTTTGCACTCAATAATTAAAATCTAACAGTAACAACAAATTAGAAAGGTTAGCATTACCATTTTGCACTGCAATGGGATTCTCACACAATTACTGCTTCCTCCCCAGTTAAGAACAAGGAATTGAAACATTGCTATAACAACAATGATTAAGACACAAGAAAAAAGAAGAAAAATTAAGACACTGTCTTTGAAATGCTTCTTGCCTGGAAACTGACCTTTTCAAGTTTGTTCCAGTAGCATTTTACCAGCTCCTAATTACGGTTCAATATTCTTCCTTTCCTACCAGCGCATGAATAATACTAATAATAAAAGAAGCCAACAGCTATCACAGCTGATTTAGAAATTCAGATTCTTAACTGTAGCAATGGAGATGGTTTTTAAAAAGGCAGAATGCCAGTCATGGGATCTTACTAGACTATTAGTAAAGCACTGACCGCAGCAGGACAGCAAATTGATCAACAATGCAAAAAGCTGACAAAGAAAGTCACACCGAAAGCTATGCACTACTTTGCAGTTTGTGGGGCTTTTGTTATGAAATTTTGCTGCCTAACTGAATTTCACCTCTGGTTGTTAGAGGAAAATTCTAGATTTTCTTTCAAGGTCCAGCTAGCCATTAAAAGAGAAAGACAGAGAGTCCTTTTTTCACCATTCAGAAAACCTTCATTTCAAAGACCATTAGTAACAGCCCTCCTCAGAGATAGGACCTTCTGTACAAAGAATAGCTACAGGGAGAGAATGTACACTTTTTCTTCTTTTGTTTTTAAAGAAAGAGAGAAAGAAAAGTGGATTTAGAAGAAAAGGTTTCAGCTTTCATTGGGTAGTTGTTATAACAGTGCTCATTACCAGCTTTTCCAAGTTGCTATTTTTAACTTGATAACTCCAAGGATGCTCATAATATAGCGGTGAAAATAAAAATTCTCAGCTAGTGCTAATTGCCTTTCCTTTACGTGCATAAAACCTGTGTAAATCCCAGAATTAGATTTCAGCCCATCATGATGTTTTCCCATTTAAGCCACCTTCAAAATGCTCAATTATGCAAAGGCAAGTTGCAATGTTTTTAATTTATTAATGGTCTTGCTGTCGGCATATGATACTATCAGCAATACCAAAGGCACTTTTGTTCCTCTTACTAATCAGAGGTTTGGGACTATAAAAATAATCATGTTTTCAGCACTGTCATAAAATGTGGAATAAACTTGACGAGGCATGTGACTTTCAGCATGCTTGCTGGGGGAATCGGCTGGAAGGCTCTGGAAAACAGAGCGTTAGCTATGATGGTTCTTATAAATCAAATATTGGTATTTAGTACATTTGCCTGCTTAAGCAGAAATGGGAACAAACAAGCAATTCATAGCAGGAAACAGATGCTAGGATGTCAGCATGTAAATTATATTAAGATCTGGAGTAATTCCACAACTAATGGTTTACTGAGGCATTGGTGTAAATAGCTTTTAATTTATAATACATCTACAACAATGAAAACATGCTGCGTGAAACATAACCCTCATTGGACATAATAGAGAAATACATTCTTAAAATACAAAGTATCGTTGTATGTAGATAAAGATTCATAGATGTATTAAAGAGATTGCATTCTTACTTTATCTATCATTAATAAAGAACTACCAACAATTCAATCATGCTCCAAACAAGCTAGAAAAACTAAACTTCCCAGGAAGAACAAGAGAAAATATGAAGACACTCGTTTATAGTAGAGGAAGTAAAGAAATGGCACCAAGCTTTAATAATCATGTGATTTTTCAGTGCTATTGAAAACAATCTGAGTTTCTTGAGTTTTCCAGAAACTGTGGGTTGCTTACTACCCTTTCATTTCAGGAAAATAATTGATTTCCAGGTGTCCCGTTAGAGTCACACCGCAGTATGGAAAAGGGTTCCAGCTTCTGTGGATAAGGTAAAAGATTTTTGGATTTTCAAATACTCACAATATACCTCCCATATTCAAACCATTTAAAACAGCTTTTCCACTAAAATATCCCATTCAGAGGGTTTCTTATCTACAATAGCTGTTTCATTTTCCAAAAATGAAATTGCATGTAATTAGTGTTCAAAACATTCCAAGCATTTAAAACAACTTACATCATTATTCCACAAACAATAAACAGACAACAAGTTATGTATATGTATTGCTATGTTGCTTTTTCAATTTGATGCACCCAATCTGCTGCATTCCTATATCCTGTACACCTGGTCAAAAAACACCTCTCCAAAGCTCCTGTTTGCACAGGCATCCATGTAGGCTTCCCTCAAAATGCAAATATATTTGGAGATGCAATTTTTGTCAGGATTGTGGTATGGAGGCCCTGAAATTGTGCAGGTTTTCCCATGGCTGCAATTTACATAACAAATAGGATGCACGTTCATATTCAGCCCAGCGATACATTCTTCACCATGGCAGCAAACCAGGTAATAAGCCACTCTATATTAGTAGTGCTACATATATTTGCCACAAGTGACGTGGGTGGCGCTGTGGGTTAAACCACAGAGCCTAGGACTTACCGATCGGAAGGTTGGCGGTTCGAATCCCCACAACGGGTCTCTGCTCCTGCCAGCCTAGCAGTTCGGAAGCACGTCAAAGTGCAAGTAGATAAATAGTTACCGCTCCGGCGGGAAGGTAAACCGCATTTCCGTGCGCTGCTCTGGTTAGCCAGAAGCGGCTGACCACATGACCCAGAAGTGGTACGACGGCTCCTTCGGCCAATAAAGTGAGATGAGCGCAGCAACCCCAAAGTCGGCCACGACTGGACCTAATGGTCAGGGTTCCCTTTACCCTTACCTGTATTTGCCACAAGGAGACTGTTTTTGACACATGCAACATGTGCACCAAGTCTAACCTGTGAGGGATTCCAGGAATAAGTGTAGGTCTTGCGTTGAAATTACATATCCAAAGCCATTACCATGATGAGTCATTAACTCTTTTGATTCACTGAGTACTGATTTGGTTTTCTAAATCAAATCTTTTCAGACTTGACTTCCTTGGGTTACTTCCCCCACACCTTCCATAACCCTTTTAAAAATACATTTCATGTAATTTTTGAGGGTTCTTTGGGATGGATGACTGTCAAGTTATGCTGCAGTTATAGATTCGTCCTTTGACATTATAGTATTAGTTTGTGTCAATTTATGGTGGTTTATTATATATGGTATTTGCGGAAGCCTTCTGCGCAGGGAAGGTGTGGGCAGCGGAGGACCCGTACTCTCTCCACTGGTCTCCGGCAAGGAGTCTTGGAGCCTCCTCCCCGATTCCCCCACCTGCCCCGCTTCTCCACTGGTTTTACGCTGATTTCCTTCCCCCGCGGACGGGCTGCCTCTCTCCCTACTGGGACCCTCTCCGCCATCCCTCTGGAGCCTTCCCTCTGCCTCTAGCTCCGATGGCAGTTCCCTGACAATCCGTGATAGATTTATGAAGAGAACTATTGCTCCATTATTTCTTCTTGACATATCTCAAGATTATTGAATGTGCTGGCTTTGAGGCTTGATATTCCAACTTTATAAGAAGCTTATAATCTTGGATGTCCAGGTTTTATAGGCAACTCCCAAGTCAGATGCCTCTCATCTTTAGATTATTGCACTGATAGCCTGTTTTAATGGGGTGGGGAGAATATGTTTTATTACTAGCACTATATATCACTATATATTGTGAGAAATCACTATATGTGAGGAACTATACTTGAAAAATGTCCTGCCTCTTCACGCTCAGCATAGCAAAATATGATAGAGGGTTTCCAAAAACATCACTCCTTGGAATTTGCTACCTGCACATTGTATTCTCCATGTCAAGAATGCACTAGTCAGACCTCATCTACAGTATCCTCTCCGCTATCTGGGCACTGTTTTAAGAAGGATATAAACAAACTCGAACAGGTTCAGAGAAGAACAGCAAAGATTGCCAGCGGTATGGAAAATAGGTTCTAAAGGCTGTTTAGCCTGGTGAAGAGAAGACTGAGGGGGACATGATAGTACTGAAGGGCTGTTGCACAGATGAGGTCAAATCCCTGTTCTCTGCTGCCTCAGAGGGCAGGATTACAGCTAATGGGCTAAACTTGCAGAAAAGTAGATTTAAGTTCAGCATACTTTATTTCTATTTATTTGTTTTAAACTCTTTGTAGGCCGCCTTTTCAGGCAATGCTTGCCAAAGGCAGCCCAAACCAATAAAAATACAAATATGAAACCATCAAGTCCACTTCCTCCTACCAAAATAAAATGCAGTAAAAGCATAAAGGTAAAGGTAAAGGTACCCCTGCCCATACGGGCCAGTCTTGACAGACTCTAGGGTTGTGCGCTCATCTCACTCTAGAGTCCAGGAGCCAGCGCTGTCCGCAGACACTTCCGGGTCATGTGGCCAGCGTGACGAAGCTGATCTGGCGAACCGCCACTAGAGCAGCACACGGAACGCCGTTTACCTTCCCGCTATAAAGCGCTACCTATTTATCTACTTGCACTTAGGGTGCTTTCGAACTGCTAGGTGGGCAGGAGCTGGGACCGAACGACGGGAGCTCACCCCGCCGCGGGGATTCGAACCGCCGACCATGCGATCGGCAAGTCCTAGGCGCTGCGGTTTTACCCACAGCGCCACCCGCGTCCCTGCAGTAAAAGCATACTTGGTCAATTAAAACATTTTCCCCCACAACACTAGTATCCACGGTGCTGCCAATAAAATATTGACCAAGAATAAGGTTTCTATAGAGCCTTCCAAAACCCTGCTATAGATCCACTGGCAGGGAGTGGCTCTGTGAGGGGAATGGGGTTTCCTAACAACTCTCAGCACCCTTAGCAAGCTGCAGGTCCCAGGATCCTTGGGGAAAGCTTTGAGTCTTTGACTGTTTAAAGTAGTATGATACAGCTTAAAATGTATAGTGCAGATGGAGCCATTGTCTCTCACAGGGCTATTGTGTGAATTAGCTGGGTGGATAAATACAAAGAGTAAAAATAAATGGTTGTAGGCAATGCTATGTACACATAGTTCCACTGCTGCAACAGGACTTGTGTTTCCTCTCCTCCCCCTCCTCATACACCCCAAATCTACCCTAGATGATCCCCCAAGCTCCTGATTTGAAGGAGGGAACAGGTGAGGAAGAGGAAGTTTCATTGTGCACATGGAAGTTCATTGCATCAGCAGAGCTGCATTGCAAAAAACGGCCCAAAGAGTAATATCATCAGCATTTAGGCAGAATTTTAAAGGTAAATGTTCACCCAGGCATTTGATGGCTAAAATATACTGTTTCCAGCAAAGTTGAAATTGTTTAACTATGAACATAGGATATTTGATTGTTGTTGCTTTCTAAAAAATATATTTTGTACTGGTTTGCTGTTTTATTGTTTGATACCCTGGGCTTGTTGGGAAGGAAGGGTGAGATAGAAAATTAAGAAATAAATAATATAAACACCAAGCACAGGTATTACATCCTATTCTTCCTCCACACACACACACACACACACACACACACACACAAAATTACTGCCATAAAGGTAGCCTATCATTTTTTTCTTGTTTATTATGAATAATGGTGGAGTTTGGAAACTGCCTGGTTTTCTCAGGTAGACAAACCAATAGAAACCCTCCAAACTCTACCTATAACAACATATACCAAAGCAAAAATTGCCTTTTTTCACACACGCAAATATTTTAAAAGAACCAAATAGGAAGAAGGAAAGAAATAGTGAGTCCCAACTACTGCTCACAATACCCATTATATTGCTAGAAAACATTCAATTATCACCATGATTGAAAGCAGTAGGGAAAACAGGGACTTGGCTATGATACATCAGAACAAAAAATGACTGCAATGCAGCTTGAATTCAGCTCTGTGGTAGTATCTCTGCTGCACCATCCTTGACTCTTGAGTGAATGTCTTTGCCTGTTTAGTTTAGACTGACTATACCAGAAGGGATGTAATAAGCTGCTGAGATAATATAATAATAGGTCTGCAATCTCTTTGCCACCACTGAGAATCCAGGGGCAAAGCAACTCTTCATTTTTGACAGAGCCTGTGGACAGAAATCTTTCAGTGACCAGTGGGGAACAAAATAATGAAACTTTCAATAAACTCTGAAGGAAACTCTGGATGAAGAATCTGGATAATTTTGTTGAAGCACTTTATAAATAGGTTAATGGTGGCTTCACTTGTTCCACCTTAACAGCTGGCTTTAGGTTTATATCCTATTAATTTTCATATGAACTCACATGTCCCCCAGAGATAAGTTCTACCTGGATGTTGAATATATCATCTCCCAAATTCAAAGGTACTAAAACTAACAGGAACTCCAAGGCAAATTGTTTCCCCGAGCCCCCACAAGGGCCATTGAAGGCCAATTCCTCTGTGAGAAAAAACCAAAAGAAGCAGCAAATACACCGTCACACACCTTCACCTGATTCATCTAGTCTGTATCCCACGCTCACACCACCACAGTGATTATATAAAACCAACTGTCCTATGAAATAAAAGGAAGCAGAGTTCAGCTGATCTGCTCCACGCCTGGTCATGTCAGGCCAAGAACCTCGTGTGAGAGAACCAGGAAAAAGAGAACATCTCTTCTTCTGGTTCAAGTGGATTGACTACCCCTTTCCCTCACCCCTCAAATAATCAGACAAACTGCTTTGTAGCCAGTCATCCATCAAGCAAAGCTCAGCACAGCAAAGCTGAAGCAATGGAAAAGACATAAACACCAAGGGAATGTGAGGGGAAATCTCATTCAGTAAATCTCATTCAGTCCACCACCATCTGAGCCATCACCAACCACTGATACTCTTGAGAAGGCAAACTTCATAGAGCATACCTGGCTATGGTGATATAGTATGAAGTTGCCCTTTGCATCTTCTCTTAAGACAGCTGGGAATAATAGCCGGCTGAAGGAAGTCAGTCTATAGAAAGAAGTAACAATGGAGAATTAATTGGTCTAGGCATACTTGTTCAGTGTTGCTATGGTTGTTGCTTCTTATTTTAGAATAAAGTCTTTGTAATCTATGTCTGCTGTGATTCTTGGACATAGCACTAGCACATAGCTGAACTATGGTTTAAAAAGAGAATTAGACAAATTCAAAGATGATCAAGCTATCAATGGTTATTACTCAATTTGCCTATAAGCTGCCTCTAGAATTTACTTTTTTACATAGTACACAATAAACTAATGGGGTTCACTGCCACAATATGTGATGATAGCCACTAACTTCTACCACTTTGAAAGTGGATCAAATACACTGAAAATAAGGCTAACATTGGCTACTAATCCTGACGTTATATGCAACCACCATCTTAGGAGGCTGAGAAAAAAACATAGGAAAGGGCTACTCCTCTCATGTTAGGTTAGCTGTTGTGGGGAACAGGATACTTGACTTGTATTTAGTCTGATCAGCAAGACTTTTCTTATTAATGCCTTTGCATGTGGGAAAACCTGAAAGATTTCAATTGTATGATCTGAATCTGACCATAAACTGATTCTGAATGGTGGTCTATCTAGCCACACATTCTCAACATTCTTAGTTAATATTTAATTGGAGACTCCAAAAATCAGACCTGGAACCATTACAGCGGAGAATGTAAGACTGTGTAAAACCAAGATTCTTCCCAACCTCTCTTCCAGTTTGGCATTACAGTTTGTAACTGGGACCTACTCCTTGGAAAAGTTCTGTTACACTATTCAACTGCAATCTTTCTATGGGAAGATGTGTATCAGTTTTTCCCAGTCTGCTTCCCTTTCATTTTATGATATTTGCTGTTTGAAGCATGGGACCCTTTTTCTAGAAAGACAAAACTTGGTGTTATTAAAAACTGAGAAGATCGTTGGCCCTTTGACAGAACTACAGATTCCCTTAATACTAAAGGATAACATCTTATCTCACAGGCAGGATTTTCAGCTCTACATCTCACTTCTCCTAAGTCTCCACCATATCTATGCAGAGTTTTTCTTGCTGTTGCTCAGATCTGATAATCCATTTGTGTAGACTACTGTTGACTTAACACTTAAAGGGGTTCAGAGGAAACATAAAAAACATCACAGCGTTCTGGAATATTCTACGTGCATGCTATCTCTATTTCAAATTAAATGCCTGCTTCACTCCCACTCTCTACAATGATAAAATTGCTTGATTCATAAACTTCATGTTGACATTTTATTATATCATAAAAAAGGATTGAGTGCTGTTCAAGGTTATATCCTTACATCTGTCTGACCTATAACTTATCTGGAATTATCTTATTTCACTTTACAGACCAAAAGTGTTTCTTTCAGAAAACTGAAGAGACGGTGCTTTTCCAGTATAATTTGCCAAGTTATACAGAAAGGAAGACTATTTTCTGTCAGTCTGACAGAATACTAAATGGTTTACTGAAGACCATTTCAGTTGTCAAATTCCTTAAAAAACACACGCCAGAATTTGAATAATAGCATAGCAACCTCTTCCACTCTAGATTGACCTGATAAAATCCCCCCTTTCCTTTATTGTAGTTAAAGGTCACTTCAACATACCTTTAAATTATTACAGGGATTCCTGAACTCTAGAGCAAGAATGTGATTGTCTGGTCAGGTAGTCATGGGGCAGCCATGTTGGCAGCAGAGTAGAGTGTCCCCCACCCCCAGGATCCAGGCAATTCAGAGATGGGGTTCAGAAGCTTACCACTCTTTCTTAAATTCTTCCTCCTAGAGGCCTGGCATACAGATCAGTATGGATTTGTGGGCACAGCATCATCCATCAGGTGAAGAACCACACACTGTCATGTGGGTGGTGTCTACACCATCTGAGTGAGAGGGTGGAATGGAATTTGAGATGATGAGGGACGAATTTGTGCTATCAGTCATGTTATGTATTACAGCCAAGAGCCTTCTGATTATATCATCATACAACCTGGTGAAAATGATCTAGGCAGGCAAAAGGGAATCATCCTTAGTCTTACATGCTGATTGGACACCCTGAAAGCTGAATTCCCACAGGTGGTGGTCATCAGGCTGGAACTCCTCAGGGGTTGGGGCTGGGGGGGCTTAAACCCTGGCATGGTCAATGAAGCCCAGAGAAGGTCAACAAAATGATTTATTGGAAGCTGCTAGTTCTCAGAGAACTAACCGGTGAGGCAATATCCATCAGTATAATTCAGAAGAGATGAATTGGGCAATGTGCATCTCTCTGGGGCAGGCAATGAGGCCTGGTTGGTGGACATTCACAGTGGTCTGTGTGGATGGTTACAGGAGCTTTAGATGTGGCAGTGAGTTGGGGCGTTCCCCTCAGCTCTTGTGGTGGGAGAGGCACTGGGCTGGATCCTTAGGAAGCAGGGAAGAGAAGAGAAGGGATAGCCTGCCCCATCCCATCAGGGGATCACCATTAGGTGGTGCTTTCTGCCCATAATCCCATTCAGGGGGTGATGGGTCATAGCACCTGTTACCATTGATCTGACAGGGTCCATGAGAAGCAGTTTCTACCGTAAGGGGACTCCAAATTTTGGCCAACTCTCATCCATCAACTGGCAGCATATCAAGCAGCAGGCAGGCTGGTTGATCATTTGATATGTACCCAATGCCCATGCCAAACTTATTATTCTGTAAACAACAAAGTTGTGGCCTAATTTTAATCCAACACTGGGTGTCTTGGTCTTTACCACCTGCTCCTCCACCCCATGGCTTTACTGTGCCTGAAGCCACAAGGAGACTTGCTTCTCAAAAAGAACTTTTCAGGGCCAAAAAATATGCAATAGTTCTAGATTGTGTGTGGACTACATAGAAAAAAGCAAGTACTGAGTCTCCATTGATTCTAGAACAAAATATTGTGCATACACAACCCTAGTGTCCAATAAATACGTATCATTTCTATCATTTCCCTAACACATACATCTTAACATGTAAAAAATCATAATAAAAATTGCAGTTGAATTTACTGTTATATGGAGATCATAGCTGTAATAAGAGCCCTGTCATACTAAGCTTATATTTCACAAACAGTTCTTCTTCCACCACAGATTTTGAGGCTGTTGCAGCTGTCCAGATCAGAGTTGCTACCCAGATTTCCTGAAAGCAAACTGAGGAAATAGTGCATCAATATTTGCATCCGACACCATGCCCTGCATATGGTATTGTTTCAGGGCACTGCAGGGACAGGGAAATGGCACTGTCACACACACACAAAATGGTGAAGAATATTCAGAGAAAATTCAACAAACTGCCCTTCCTTTTCTTGGGTGAGAACGGGGTGAGCTCCTGTTGCTTGGTCCCTGCTCCTGCCAACCTAGCAGTTCGAAAGCACATCAAAGTGCAAGTAGATAAATAGGTACTGCTCCGGTGAGAAGGTAAACAGCGTTTCCGTGCACTGCTCTGGTTCGCCAGAAGTGGCTTAGTCATGCTGGCCACATGACCCGGAAGCTGTACACTGGCTCCCTCGGCCAATAAAGTGAGATGAGCACCGCAACCCCAGAGTTGGCCACGACTGGACCTAATGGTCAGGGGTCCCTTCACCCTTCACCATTCTATCATGATACATTCAGTCAGCATAATGGAGAGCTAATACCTTGATCCTAAACATGTTTATTCAGAAGTCCACTGAGCTCAAGTATGCAGAAGTCTTTTGCTCTTGTTTTGGAGACAACTTTAGTCATTTGTAAAAGTTCATTAAAAATCAGCTCATAAATGTGTTGTATGTGGAGAAATAAATGAGAAATGGAAGAAGGGACATAATTTTCATGCTTGTTATACTATCTCAACTTCTATGAAGGTTTTGCCAGTGATGATGACCAACTAGATTATTATCCCTGGGCAAAACACAATATATAGTAATGTATTCTTAAATGCTGAACACCAGCTAGCACCTTCTGAAGATAAAGACAGATGTGTTGCCATGAAAGCAGAAACTCATTATGATTAACAGCCTTTCAGCGTCTCCAATCAAAGAGGGAGCCTAATAAGGAAAAAAAATGGAGGAAATATTGAAGCTTCTACAAAGTAGAAAGATCATTTGGTGCCAGTCCTATTTATATACTTTTAAAGCTACTTAATGTGATGCAAGAGAAAATAAAAGAGGAAAAATGTAGCTAAATCTGGAGCAAATAGCAATTCTGGCACTGAGAATTAGGGGTGTCTAAACTCCCATACTACTGATATATCACTATCTCACTGCTTCCCAAATAAAATATAGATTTTGTTTCAGCATAGTCTTGTAAATTAATTTGCTTTGCTCAGCTGCATTGAACATGTTCACAGGTTAATGGGTAGAGGATCGTTCCAACAAAGGGCTACAGATTGAGATATTCTGCAGGAAATAACAATATTTATACACCATAATGCTCCCCAGCAAACAAAACAACCACTCTCAAGCTTGTCCTGAACACATCAACCACCCAGACACCAATTTAAACTCTAAATTACAGGGCATGTTACTCTTATGGTATTCAGCGGACCTGAGATTTTCTTTGTAATTGTGATAATGGTTGCTGTAGGAATCAAATTGAAGCCTGTTTTTATTAGTTTTCCTGACTCTACTGTAAGAGGATAAGTATGTAAGATTTCTGGTCATTGAATATCACAGAATTTGGACAGATTTGAAAACAGAATTAGTTGTATGTCTTGAGAGGAGCTGGGAAAGTCAAAAGACATGGTCGGCCAATGAAGCACAATGTTGAAAGATTCTGGACAAATAAAAGAAAGTGCTTCTTCACTCAGCACATGGTCACCTAGATGGCTTTAAAAGAGGATTAGACAAATTCATAGAGAAGACTGCCAATGGCTACTAACTCGGGTGGCTCTGCTCTGCTTCCAAATACAGTGGTACCTCGGGTTACAGACGCTTCAGGTTACAGACTCCGCTAATCCAGAAAAAGTACCTCGGGTTAAGAACTTTGCTTCAGGATGAGAACAGAAATCGTGCTCCAGTGGTGCGGCAGCAGCAGGAGGCCCCATTAGCTAAAGTGATGTTTCAAGTTAAGAACAGTTTCAGGTTAAGAATGGACCTCCGGAATGAATTAAGTTCTTAACCCGAGGTACCACTGTACCAGTTGCTGGAGGCTACATGCTAGAGAGTGATGTTGTTTGTATCCTAGAGTTTGCGCTGCACTCCCTCCTGGTTCCTTTGGTTACTGGCTCCTGCTTCCTCTTGACTGCCTGTTTCATCTCGCACTTGGATCATTTCTGCAAGCTTGCTTCCCTCCCTTGGGGTTGCTCACCCAACCCTTTGCCATTGGGAGAGGTTCCAAAACAATTACATTCTTGGAGAGGAAATTAAAGCACTGCCTTAGTCTTAAAAGAGAACTTTTGGCTTCCCAGTGCGGCAAACAGCAGCTTGCATATTTGATGTCTCCAGTGTTAATACTAGCCAGTTGGTTTCAAAATGGTTGCTTTCTTACTGAAGCTAGAGGGCAAAACGGTTTCTCAAAGAAACTTTGTGATAAAGGGGGGGTGGACTCGAGATGATAGGTGGGTTGGATTTTTTTGTAGAGTATATTCACTTCAGTGTAAATGCAGAGACCAAATAAGCTTCCTTTAATTTCCATAATGAAATTGTTTTTGTAAAGTTAAAAATACTGTAATGAGGCCCAAACGGTGTGCTTTCAGAGGCTCCCATGGTGAAGCAAATGAGATTTTAGCTTCTCTAATTGGGCATACTGCAAGCTGGGCTTGGTGCTGTCCTCAGCACAGGATGTCTGTTATCCCTAACAAAAAGAGGTCTACAGCTGTCAGCATAATACTATACGGCTTTTCAGGAGCCAAGCCATCAGGCACAGGACTGCAGCTCTGACTGGGACCACCCAAAGGGAAAGATCAAGTAGAGAGTAGCTCCGCTCTTCCTTGATTAAGAAGTTATTCGTAAGGTAATTTGTTTACAGCTATCAAAGAGAGGCTTTCAAAGCAACTGTTGAGAATTCCCAGAATTCTCTGAAAGTATTTTTATTTGATTAAGTAATGAATATGGATGTTTTATTCTCCCCTCTCCTGTGAATTAAATCTCATTACCTGTCAACACAGGTTTTTGGAGCCTTACTGTTCCTGGAGAAAACTCAAGCTAGAAAGCATTGTGCGTTTGTGTGCATTGCTGAAGTCTGCTATCTGCCATGTACAAGTCCATAAGCCTGAAATACCATGGAATTTTTTTATATAACAATATCAACTAAAACTTTTCACATCTGAGATGTGTGCATGAAGCCATGCTATCTGAAAATGAAGTAATCTAAAGATCTGAGTTCAAAGCAAGCTTGGGAATTGTACGCTACTACTATGCAGAACACAAATGAAAAACAGAATTCAATAAAATGAGTGAAAAATTGGAGCAGTATGCGTGTTACTCTCTCCTGACAAGTAGCTACTTCTGATGACTATATATAACAATGTGTGAATCAACACATAAAGGAGGCAATTGTCTTCCCCAGGCCTTTGAACTAGAAATTCCCAGAGTTTGTCAAGGCCAGATTCCACAGTTTCAAGTTTGCTAATGAATACCCTTCCAAGTCTTCGCATTTGGGTCGGCCTTTTTATATTATATATATTGTGTGGTGTGGGTGTGTGGGTGTAGTTTCATATTGAATCATACAATAAATGTTACCGAATAAACAATATCTCATCTTAAATGTACTGTTACAGTAAATACAGCATTCAGAAAGCATCAAAGTAAGGATACAGCATTTCAAATGGAGAAATTATCATCCACAGCCTCTCCAAAAACCAGATTGGATGCCTTTAGTTATCATGTTTATAAAAGTCAAAAGTGGAAACCAGACTGTGACAAATGCATCAAGTTTGGTGTTGTCACCTTTCCATTAAGGCAGGTGCCAAATGCAGCTGCACCAGTTGTTATTGGAGAAGTCAGGAGACCTTTCCCAATGTCCTGCTACAGTCATTCTGGTGGGCACAAGGAGAAATATAAAGAGATCCTTATGAAGTTGTTTATAGTAAAAACAGAGAGAAGAACTAAGGAAGAAGACTTGGGAACTGGTTGGCGTGTAATCTGGGGGTGTGGTTGCAGATAGAATCGCAAAAGTGAGTACATTGGAACAAAGTCACTGCATGTAGAGGTAGACGTCTCAGTCAGTGCAGTCCCTCTAGCAGTTGGGTGGCAATGGGAAGTTAATGAAGCTCCATTCTAGTGAAACAGCCCAGACATCTGCAGCAATGTGAAGATGGTCTAAGTTATAGCAGGATAACACACAATCCATTTGTACCACTAGATAACATCTTTATAACTTTCTGAGGTTGCTGGCTGTTAACTAGGCAAATACAAAGGCACAAGTTTTGTCTATGTTTTGGCTTCTAATTTGTTAGTGGAAATGCATTATTGCCTTATGAACAACAGTATTCTGTTGTATTCTAACTGGTGTTAGGTTGCTGTGGCTTCATTTACAACATTTAAAAACAACTCCATAAAAAATGGATTGGAGAAATTATGAGCCTTTAATGATGACTAAAAACAGTAACCAGCTAAGGGTTTTTTTTTGGGGGGGGGGTTGCGATTGTGGAAATTAACAGTGAAAATCAGTAACCAGCTAAGGTTTCTTTTGCGATTGTGGGAATTAACAGTGGAAATCTTGAAATGCTTTATTAATTTTAAAGGACTTGCTTCAGCAGAAATTCTCTGAGACTCACACTTTATATAATTACTTAATTGCTACCTTCTACTAAAATTATTCATGATATTGCTAGTGAAATGTTTCAACAGTATGGCATAACATATAAATTTAAAATGTGTGCTATGCACACCTACTGACTATCATGGGAGAGGGTATTAAGCAATATATCTGCATTACGGTTCCTTCTACAACATGTCAAAACACTGACAAAATGTGGAGCGTGAAGCTGAGGGCAAATGTAAGCACACTAAACCTAATTTGTTGCTGGCACTAGTCATGGAATTGACTATAATTGGCAAGTGGTTACTGATTTTGAGAAATAATTGCGCTGCCATTATCCAGAGAACACTGCCAAAAGCAGACATACCTCAATAAAATACTTATATGAATTTCTTCTAACATTTCTATTTACTTCAGATTGCCATTTGCCCCTTTTTTTCAATTTCACTTCATTTTCAATCAATCATTCTTGATGTGATTGAAACTAATGAATGTAAACAATAAAATTTGTTATTTTTTTCAGAGATGGTTTGGATAAACATATCTCAACTTGATAAGCCAAGATATGAACAAGTTTTTCCACTTTGTAGCATGAGTGAACAAACCAGCAAGTATTTAATTACTGCAAAACTATGGTTACTAGCTTTCAAAGAGCTCACAAGATTAAACCGACTTCGAACCATGGTTTAATATCCCTGCATGTTCTGAGGCTGGCAACGAGTTCTCACTTCGGCCAAAATGGAAAACTATGGTTATTTTCTAGTTTGTTTGCTTGCACCATGAAGGGAGAGTTGATGGTGCTGCATGCCTGGGCAAAAGGTTGCTTCATATTTCCACTTATTGAACTATGATCATCTAAACACTACGATTTACAGTCCCCAATCCAGGTTAACCCACCGACAAAAGCTCACATGACTGGTAATGATATACATCCGCATTTGCCAGTTCAATGGTGCACTGATGAGCAGAGCATAACAGGTATGAAATGCACATCCACGTTAGCTAAGTGTTTTCTGCATGTAGGGCTCCTTTTCTATAATCAGTCAGCCCAAGGTTTATTACGGTCAACCAACAACACTCTGTCTTGGGGAAATTGTCTTTACGTTCAACATCATGTGGCATCTGTTCATGTGATGCAGGGAGATCCAACAAGAAAAGGTAGTGGTGATGGCATCCAACCACTTTGGACCTTGGACCTTGGACCCCACCCACAATTGGCTTTAGTCTCAACACACTGCCAGAAAGTGGCCCCCAACAGATTACGTAAGAAGAGCCCTCCTGGACCAGGTCAAAGGCCCATTTAATTCAGCATCCTGTTCTCACAGTGACCAGTCGGATGCCCATAGGTAGCCCACAAGCAGGGTATGGCTTCAATAGCACTCTCCTCGCTTGCACTTGTCAGCAACTGGCATCCATAGGCACACTGCCTCTGACTGTGGATGTACAACATATCCATGATGGCAAGTCACCAATAGCCTTATCTCTAATGCTCAAACATATCTCAGATTACCTAAAATGGAATGGAGCCCTCAACACCAAAAACTCTGTTCTACTTCCGTTTGTGTGGCATCAACATTTGTGGACTACAGCCTACTTCATCAGATGCATGGAACGTTACCTTGAGTTAGCAGGTGTTTGTAAGATACAACTCAGGATAACACACAATACACCTGATGAAGTGAACTGTAGCCCACAAAAGATTATTCCATAATAAATTAATTGGGCTTTGAGGTGCCTCATGAGTCTGTGGTGTTTTTGCATCAACCAACTAACACAATCTCCCCTCTGGGAATTCTCTGTAGTGTATCTTTCCCCCCTTTACTCTACTTTTCTTTTCTCTTCAAAAGTTAATTTTAAATAGACTTTATAAATGACATTTCACTGAATTATTTTTATGTAAAGTGCTTCAGGCACCAGTTAAGAGCTATATAAATAAAAATGATTAAGCAATTAATATTAACAAAAAGAAGTTACAACTGCCACACTGCTGTGGGCGGTGAATAATGTCACACTGATGGAAGATTTGTTATGATATTAGTCAATTAAAGCTGTCTATAAATGATCTTGTTTTTACTATTGCCACACCCACTTCCACTAAACAATCATAAATTGCATTTTGGATTATTTGGGGTAAGACGAGTGTTGCTGTCATTTAAGTTCAAGGGCCAGCATTTCTTCTGTAGCTTCTGAAGTGGTTGAATTGACTTTTCTTGATCATACAACTTAGTTCTCTTAAGTTCCAGTAAAAGAGTTTAGTCCTGAAGCCTTTCTCACGAATGAGTATACCACACGGCTGTGGAGGTTTAGGATCAGAGCTTTCCTTCTCCTAGATGAATAATCTTCCCAGGTTGATGAGCCCCATCTGCCCCTCGCTTCCTTCTACAGAATGTGCAGAAACCATCTTCTTGACTGTGGGACCCACGACTGGTCTTGTCTGATCAATCCACCAGACCCTGTCTTCACATCCATGGGTAGTCCCTAACTCACTGAGGGTTTGAGGCCCATCTGCTACCTCACCTGGTTTAGCCAGCCAGTCGAAGCTGTTCTCTGATTGTGTCCGCTGTCACATGGTCTACTAGGTGCAATTGCTTTGTGGAGACAATTCTAACGGGGGAAATGGAAAGTGGGGAATGAATAATGTTCTTCCTCCAGATTGCCCTCACCACAAGCAGTTTGAGCAAAGAAAAGCTATTCGTGGTGAGGGCAATCTGGAGCAAACGGGTCATTTGGGCTACAGTTAAAGGCATTTGCATACAATGTATACTTTGGGCCATGCATGTACTAAAAAGCACATCAGGGACACAGAAACATGTTCTACTTTTTATTGTGGGTTAAGAGTAGCAGATTTGACAGTAGGACCATCTGCCATTACTTCTCTTTTGTATCATGATGCCAGCCCAGTCAAAAGCAATTAAATGTGTTTTGCCATTAAAATATGGAGATAATTATGATGAATTACAGTTTTAAAATGGCCTTCAAAATTATGCATATGCTAGGTATATTCCTCACAGCTACTGAGGTAAAAAAGAATTTTAAAAAATCCTGCCCTTGTGAAATATTCCATCTATTTTATTAATGATGTTAGCTCTGTAATGAGATACCTACAAGGAAGTTTCAGAGATGAAGAACCTGACAGTCATTAGCAATCTATTTATAACTCAGAAAGTTTCTTTGCGAAGGAGATAACAGAGCCACAGCATTCTTCTTGCTTGCTGTTGGACAAACTATACATTGTCCAAAGCTCTGTGTTGTTATTTTTCATCATGTCACAAAATCAATACAGTGTAAAAATACCACAAGGAAACGGCAAAAGGAGGGAAATTATATCTGTTTTCAATTAGGTAGTGCTATGAGTGTGTCTTCAAATATTATTCATAATTTTAATTGAAGTTCTTTGAACTCTGTCAAAATTGTCCAAAGCCTTCAGGCAATCCTTTCCACATCAGGTCGTGAAGAAACCCTGAACATCTGCTGAGGATCCCTGTTTGCTATGCAGTACAGTGGTACCTCGGGTTAAGTACTTAATTCGTTCCGGAGGTCCGTACTTAACCTGAAACTGTTCTTAACCTGAGCACCACTTTAGCTAATGGGGCTTCCTGCTGCTGCCGTGCCGCCAGAGCACGATTTCTGTTCTTACCCTGAAGCAAAGTTCTTAACCTGAAGCACTATTTGTGGGTTAGCGGAGTGTGTAACCTGAAGCGTATGTAACCTGAAGCGTATGTAATCCGAGGTACCACTGTACTCTGCAGCATGTTCTAAGTCCTCATTTGGCTCACTGCTGCCCCACCCCACTTCCAGACACCATTGGCTTAGACCATTTGTATGGAATGCAAAACCTTGCTCGGTGCCATCACATCAGCATCTCATATATTTCATGTTGAGCCTCAATTACAGATGAGAGAGAAATTCAATTCAGCTGGCATTTAAAGGTGAACCTACATAATTCACACTTTCCGAAATAAAATGCAAAACAAAACACAGCTGTCCTTCAAAATTCACACTTCTTTGTATCTTGCAATGCAGTTCTGCATATGTTGGTGAAAACGACATACATTATATACAGGGAAGATTGCTTTGCAAAAAATGTGCATCTGAGCCAAAATTGTATACAAATATATGAGGAGAAATGAGCACTGAAACAAGCACTTTAAAATGCAAAATGTGAAGAGCTGAAGACTGGAAAAAGAAGATACAGAGAGAAACCAAAACTGGCAGATCCACACATCCCTAGCCTCCATGTAACCCCACAATCAAAGTGGGGACCAAAGTAAACAATACACCAAATCCATAGGAACGTAGGGAGCTGCCTTTTACAGGTCAGACCATGGGTCTACCTAACTCAGAATTCCTTATACTAACTGGTAGCACCTTTCCCAGGATTTCAGACAGGGGACAGGATGTCAGGATTGAACCTGGGACCTTCTGTGTGCAAAGCAGATGCTCTACAGCCGAGGTACAACCCTTCCCAGGGCCAGCCCAAGACATTTTGGCATCTGAGGCAAACAAAAAAATGACATCTCCCTTCTCCCCAGCCATGCAAGAAGGGGTGAGCAGACATCTACATTGGTAACAAGGGAGGAATAAGGATCTACATGGGGGGCTCAGACCAGCAGAGCTTTCTATCCATCAATAGGTCATTGTAGAGGCGGCATGAGGGGGAAGGGCTGCCGAGGAGGTGGCAGATCCAACCTCCAAGGAGCTCACCACAGCTGTCACTGCCACGATGGCAGCTGCCATGGGCAATGCATTCCTGGAGGCCAGATCTGCTGCCCCAGGATCCTGCCAGCTGAGGATGTTGGCTCACCTTTTCTTATGAGTGTGCTAGCCCTGGCCCTTCCCCTTGCTTATTAAAGTAATGCTTTTTAGTTTGGGGGAGTTACTGGATACAGGATGCACAGAGGGGGGAGGTTTAACTCTGCCCTCTCTGTGCCACAGTTCTGGTGAAAACCCCCTCCCCTTGGAACCACTACAGTGGTACCTCGGGTTACATATGCTTCAGGTTACATACGCTTTAGGTTACAGACTCCGCTAACCCAGAAATAGTACCTCAGGTTAAGAACTTTGCTTCAGGATGAGAAAAGAAATCGTGCTCTGGCGCCACTGCGGCAGCGGGAGGCCCCATTAGCTAAAGTGGTGCTTCAGGTTAAGAACAGTTTCAGGTTAAGAACGGACCTCCGGAACAAATTATGTACTTAACCCGAGATACCACTGTATTCTTCTTCCCAGAAGGAAGCTGAATTTGTGGCCATGGCAGCCTCCTTTCCTGAAGAAACAGCACCTTCCAGGGGTGGAGAGTTCACAGGCACTGCAATTTTCATTGGGACCATAACACAAATATCGAAGAATACTGTTTGGAATATCAAAAAATGTGAAAAGGTGGGGGGGTCTGTGTGTGTGTGTGTGTGTGTGTGTGTGTGTGTGTGTAGAAGTGCATGACTCGGTTCTAAAAAAAAGTGCAATGCCAATCCAGCTGCCACAAAAGATCACTTAGAAAAAGACACACAATCTTTGTAGATTTCACTGCTTTATTAAAAAAATACAGTGACACTGAGGTGTCATTTGTTTGTGTGTGATTTTAAAACATTGATATAATATATTCCATCTCCCTCCACTGTTTTTGGCTTTGTCGTCCTAGTTAACAGCTGCCAATGCACTGCCATACTTTTTACCCCCTGGCAGATCAGGCAAATTGCTCCCAACAGGACAGCTGCCAATCAACATAATGGCAAAAGGTGTTAGGTGGGCAACAAGGATCAGTCTTCTGCACACAGAACAGTGAAAAATCTTTTCAAAACACTCACTTTCAACAGACCAAGGCCTGGGGCTATTTTTTTGGGTGGGGGAGCCCTCATGTTAACATTTACCAATGTAAATTTAGTATCTCTTCAACTTCCATAATTAATTTTTCAAAATAATGTGAATGTTTTAATAAGCAGGCTATTGCTATATAATTTTTTGATTAGGCATTCATCTGAAAAGCTCCTTAATCAAATACTATTGAAGAAAATCAGTGTTCAGATTATCTGTTCATTTGCAAGGTTAATTTTTTCATGCTATTCTGAGAACTGCTTTTTATTATTTGGCATGGAACATGGTATCTGTGCTTGCCCTGTATATTAATTCATTCCATCAACAATTTCAAAGGAGTCACTCAGGATTTCAGGATTAAAAATCTCATATCACAGAGAATTGTAGCTTGATGAGAAAAGTCTTTCAGGCCATAAATATTTCTGAAAAATACTGTTTCACCAATGAAATATTAATCAGGATGCTTCTGTTATATGAGTCATAGGGAAGAAAGAGTTTGCACCTCTTGTCGTATAATTAACTGACTCACAACCTTTGACTAATGAAAACACTGCATGGCACTCAAAAGCTTCAGTTTTATTTAACAGGATTGGTACAATATATATATATATGAAACCACCATCACTCTGATTTATGTATCCATAATCAGATCTGGAAAGCAAGTCATTATATTATAAAAGTTGCCTAGAACAAAGTTATCCCAAACAGATGAAATTTTAAAAAATTAATAAGAAGAATTTCCCTTACCTTAGATAGAGCTTTGAATCCTTCTATGAAGGAAAGCAGAGGTTTCACATAGACATCTTGTGAGCTTGTCTGCCCCATGAGGATGAGAAGAAGAGAAGTATTTCGTCTCCCTAGTTTGCAAAGGAAAAAGGAAAAAAGATCAGATACTCAGGGAGACTTAAATATACAAGGAGTTTAGGTTTCAGTCAGTCTAACACCGTCATCTTTCAAATATCATTCATAACCCAACAAGTTGGTGAAGAAGTTTCACTGAGGCAATGAGAACGCAGACACTATAGAACAGCCTTCAGCGACGGTGCCCTCCAGAGGTTTTGGATTACTGGCTGAGATTGAAGGGAGTTGTAGTCCAAAACCTCTGGAAGGCAAGAGGATGGTGAATAAATTAGATTCAATTCTCATATTAAGGCAAACCGATCTAATCTCAAACAGTCCAAAACAACACACAATTCAAAATGGGTCTCTCATTCAAAATTTGCACTTCTCCGAATTTTGTAATGCAGTTCTCTGTTCAAAAAATGTATACAAAAATGCATATACGAGGATAAAGTGTGAATAAAAATGCATATATTAATGAAAATAATATACAAATGTTTATAGATACTGTGGAAATTTTATTAGAGGAATGATATCATATTGTGGGAAATTGCTTTGCAAAAATTGCATATCAGGAAAAATGGGATAGAAAATGTATTCGGAGAAATTCACACTGAAATGCTGAGGCAGGACTTCTTTTTTAAAAAATTAAAAACTGAAGATTTAATTGTTAACTGTTAATTATTAAAGATAACATCCCTTTGATCCTTTGCCAAGTCATCATTTTTCTTAGTCACTGTATTGATCCAAGATGCATGTCACCTCAGCCCACCCACTGCAAGCTGGTCTTGCTTCTCAATAAAAAAGCAGCCCTCATGACCAATGGGGAAGGAGTTATTAGTATGCAAGAGCCAATCGGAACACAAGCAAGCTACTCTATGCCCGCATTTTCTGTATGTGAGAGGCGAACGTTTCAGTCTGAGACCCAGTTTGAGTTAGATAGTTTTATTCATTCATTCATTCATTCACTGATTGATTGATATTTGACTTCTTACCCACCCTTCACCATAATGTCCCAGGGTAGGTTGCAGCGATTTAAAAACACAAAATAATTTTAAAACCAATCACAAACCAAAAGAATTGAGGCTGCAATTTCAAACCCCTCCCCCTTTGTGCTGGGCCATGAGAGAGGGGGTGGACTGGACACCAGTGTCTCTCCCCCCAGTTCTGTCACTGCCCTCTATCTGCACCACCATCCCACGCCCAGAACACTTTGAGCAGGTCACACAGGGAACTGCATGCTGGTGGCACTGGCTCAAGCCCAGTGTGGACCCAAATGCTACACTAGCTCAAGACTGGCATAGCTATTGGCTGCCCGCCATCTTCTGCTTGTATAGGTTGCAGGGCTGCTCCATTCAGCTCAACCACTGCCTGTTTGGGCTTTGGACTGCAGCCTAAGTCTGTAGAGCAGCCATCAGTCCAGCAGACTCCAGTGAGATGTATGAACAATGGCAGGTGAAGAAGAAGAAGAAGAAGAAGAAGAAGAAGAAGAAGAAGAAGAAGAAGAAGAATAGTAGTTTGGATTTGATATCCCACCTTTCACTCCCTTTAAGGAGTCTCAAAGCGGCTAACATTCTCCTTTCCCTTTCTCCCCCACAACAAACACTCTGTGAGGTGAGTGGGGCTGAGAGACTTCAGAGAAGTGTGACTAGCCCAAGGTCACCCAGCAGTTGCATGTGGAGGAGCGGAGACGCGAACCGGGTTCCCCAGATTACGAGACTACCGCTCTTAACCACTACACCACACTGGTGCTAAAAGAAATGCAGAAAAGGAAGTGTATATAAGCAGCAGCAGCCTGAATCCCAGCACCTTTTGGTGTGGATAAAAGATTTATCCACATAAAACCATTTATCCAAATAACAGAGCCTGACTTAACAATAATACCCCAAATTGTTGCTGTTTAACTGCCATTTAACAGCCACACTCTAGGGATGTGTCCAATCAATACCCACACTCTTACTATTGCATTGCAAATCCCTTTTATCCCTGATAAAAGCATCATCACTTAATCTTTACGTGAGTCTTGTGCATATGCACTGCCGCCTCCTGCAATTGGGAGGCAAATTGATGGCGGGGGAAAACATTTGCATCATTGTATCTGTTCAAATGTACTCCCATCAGTTTAATGGAGCCCTGTTACATCAGTTCAAGGAGGGAACATTGAAATAGGAGTAAGAGTAGACATGTTCTGGCGTTATAAACTCGCCACACCTAGCTTCGGCTGCAATCTCTATTTAAATTCAGCTAGCTTTTGTTTTGTTTTTGAAGAGGTGGTTCTGAAAATACTGGCAGAAATGTGGGGTTAATGGCCAGAAAGAAAGCCAGCCCATGGCACAAATCAAACAGTGTTTAGGACTAGTTTATTAGCAAAATGTAGCCAACATCTGGAGGGCACCATGTTGGCTACCCCTGCTCTGATTTATTGTTAATCACAAACATTGCTAGGCAATGCCCCATCTATATTGACAGATGCTTAGAAATCCAGCAGTTATTCATTGGATTTGAGGCCAAGACAATTTAAAATAAATTGACTCTTCCATCACAATTAGAGGGCATGCCAATCACAATGAATCTCATTCACACTGAGTTTCAGCCTCAAATATTTGGGCGCCGCAATGCAAGCCCTATGGGCATCTGAAAGGTCTTACGACTTGTGGGATCAGGAAATCTAGAGCAGGGAAGCATGAGTTTGAAATTGTGGGAAAGGTTTTGTTACTCAAACATTTATGAAGTATTCATCAAAGTAAATAGGGCAGGATCCAGGTTGAGGAGACTATAGGAAAGCTCCCTCTGGTGGGACCCCTCTGCCATTGGGAGGCCCCGGTGGACTTAACTGGCAGTGAACAGCAGTACAGTGGTACCTCAGGTTACAAACGCTTCAGGTTACAGATGCTTCAGGTTACAGACTCTGCTAACCCAGAAATAGTACCTTGGGTTAAGAACTTTGCTTCAAGATGAGAACCGAAATCGTTCTCCGGCAGCACGGCAGCAGCGGGAGGCCCCATTAGCTAAAGTGGTGCTTCAGGTTAAGAACAGTTTCAGGTTAAGAATGGACCTCCAGAACGAATTAAGTTCTTAACCCGAGGTACCACTGTACTCCAAACTGCCCTAAACTTCTTAGCCATGGCACCATTTTAACTTACCCCAATGGCCTCCCTATTGTGATGTTCTGAAGCACTGAGGATAATTAAAATGGAAAATAATCCTACCTGCCTGTTGCTAATCAGTACACCAGAAAGAGTTTGATTGGTGTGAGGGGGGATGTACGTGACTGTAATGGTTCTAGGGGTTGCTCATGCGTAAGCCGGTGCAAACACCTGGCTGGATTGCCTGAGTGAACCTTTTCTGTCCGGACAGCCACTCACCCGTGGCTGTCTCAATCGCTGGCAGAATCCGTCAGTGGGCGTTTCTTAAACTTCTTCCAGCAAAGAAGCTCTTTGACGCCTAGTCTCCTCCTACTTTCTCTGCGCGAAAGCCTTCTTGCCGCTGGTCCCCGGCAAGGAGTCATGGGACCACCTCGCCGCTTCCCCCATCTGCCCCCCTTCTCCACTGGTGCTACGCTGATTCTCTTCCCCAGAAGATGGGCTGCCTCTCCCAATCCTGGGACGCTTTCCAGAATCCCTCTGGATTTTGCTCTCCCTCCGGCACTGATGGCAGTTCCCTGACAATGACTGAGTTTTCTGGAGAGCTATAACCCCCATAACTTCCCAAGGATACCCAGTACTTATGTTGGGACAGAACACTAAGTGTCAGTAAAGTATTCTGAGAGGCTAAAGGTATTAATGTTCATTAAGTAAAATAAGCAGGGATGACTTTAAATAGGGATGGTGACATCTGTCCTTTGAGCACCAAATATACACTCTTTCCGGTGAGTTCTGGTTGGAAAAAAGCCGTTCTTAACACTCTAGTAAGCAGATTTTTCAAATTCTTCCGGACAACGTTCCAGATATCATTGCGGGGTGGCGGGCGGTGTTAAATGAAATTGTCACATAATGTGTTTTAGAAATCCTGAATTATTCATCTGTTGTTCATAAATTTCTGATATTTTGTGGGAAAATATCCCCCCACATACACCAATAGGCTAATGGCCCCTTTGCACAGAAGGGCTCCTCCCCTTAATTTTCCAATCCCCCATCCCTGTTCTGAACTGGAGGTAGTTTAAAAAAAAACCAAAAAACTAAGAGGATTTCTTTAAAGCCAAATTTGTATTTTTTTGTTGTTTATTTCATCCTTTTCTTCTCACAGGATCATAAACAGCAGCATGAAATAAATATGGGAAACTGCAAAACAGCTTTACTTTACGAATGTGGATTTTAAAGACCAAACATTTATGTTAAGAAATAAAAACACCCCCACAGTGCTTAAGACTGCAGAACATTTGTAACACACTTAATTTGTTTTCCTTTGCTAAAATGTTTTTTCAAAATACATTGAAAAGCACTTTTCTGCAATGCATATAAAACAGAGGTGGGAGAACTAAATCTTAAAATCAAAAAAACGTTTCATCATTTGTAGCAGAATATGGAACCACAACAGCATCCTAATAAGTTGCCAGAAACAGACTTGGCATTTAATGTAATTTTTAAAATGCATGTTTAATTTATGCAACAAAGTGTGTTTTCCTCTGATACATCCCAGGAGGAACCTGCAGACTGCACTCTGACTGGAGGAATCATAGATAAGATCACCTTCCAAAGTGCTCTGCAATGCATCCTGAAAGAAAGAATTGTAGGAGTCACCCCAAGAGCACCTGATAGGTAAATCTGCAAGAACAGGAGGCAGATATGACTTTCGCCAAATGATGGAGGAGGAGTTTTCAGGCCTTGGGTTTTAGTGGGGAGGGCAAGGGGAGAGATGCTATTGTAATATTTTTCTCAAGGTGCAGGACTCCAAATGATGCCTTTGTGTGGGTGTTCCTATAGTTGTTGTATGATAATGTCATTACAAATCCAGGAGATGTGTTGTAATTTTCTCAGTGCACAAGGAAAAGTAAACGCAACATACAATTTCCAAGTAGCCTTTCTCTCTAAACTGACAGAAGCATTCCTGATTCACCTTGTGTTAAATAGGAAAATAAGCACCTAGTCCCCTTCAGAGTACACTATAAGCTTTTTTTGTTTTTAATTATAATAATTTCTTGCTCTTAACCTCGATGGGAGCTAATTATCTTGCATAAGCTCATATCAAATTTTCAGATACTTTAATTCTGAAAGGTGCATGAGTCAGAGAGAAAGGAAAAGTCAGGAGGATAAAGAATGCTAATAAGCATGTTCAAACAGCCAAAGGAAAACACAGATATTATATTGATATTTAAGTTTACAAAGGAAGCACATGATCTCTTATGATTCACAGGAATCAAAAGTAGCCTGGAAAGGCTGGCTTCCCCAGACCCATCAATTTTCATTCTCCCTTCAACCCTCAATGCTACACCAGCTCTCTAACCTTCGCTCCCATCTGAAAAAAGAAAGATTGCATGTTGTTGTTTCGTCGTTTAGTCATGTCCGACTCTTTGTGACCCCATGGACCAGAGCACGCCAGGCACTCCTGTCTTCCACTGCCTCCCGCAGTTTGGTCAAACTCATGCTGGTAGCTTCGAGAACACTGTCCAACCATCTCGTCCTCTGTCGTCCCCTTCTCCTTGTGCCCTCCATCTTTCCCAACATCAGGGTCTTTTCCAGGGAGTCTTCTCTTCTCATGAGGTGGCCAAAGTATTGGAGCTTCAGCTTCAGGATTTGTCCTTCCAGTGAGCACTCAGGGCTGATTTCCTTAAGATTGCATAGGGCTTAAGATTGCATAGGGCTTGCTTTTTCCTTGCTGTTGTGCCAAGAAAACAGCAGTGCATCAGCACATGTCACCATTGGGCTCACTGCTATTATCTGTCATGCCCTGCTTAACTATTTTCCCCTGGCCTGGACCTCCAAGCAACACCAAGCCAGAGGCACACTTAGGCGATGGTGAAACCTGCTTTGCTGCCTGAGGCAAAACAGAAAGGTGCCACACCCACTGCCACCCCATCACCAAAGCCTTGCTTAGCAGGGTCATGTGGTAGTTTCCAGTGGGATTCCATGATGTTTCACAGAACTCTCACAATACCTTGCAGAGCTCCATGAGATCTTGCCAGAAGCAACTCTGGCAGTAGTGACAGGGGTGGGCAAGGTGCCCACAGGGGTGCTGCCCTGTGGGATTCCGCTGCCTGAGGTGGGCTGCTTCACTCCTCCTCATAGACAGCTTGGCTCTGCTGCCTAGGGCTGATAAGAGTTGGAGCCAACAACTTCCGGAAGGCCACAGGTTTCCCACTCCTGGATTCGACAGACTTTAGAAATTATTTTGATGGTGAGTTAGTTGTTCCATAACAAGATGGCCCCATTATAGCCTGCACCACGATGGAATCCCTGTGCTGTGTTTTGGTCTTTCCAGTATGCAGCGCTTTCTGCTCTGTGGGGAGATGATAAACTAGTTCCTGGTATGATGCTTCTCCTTGGTCTTCTGGGAAAGCATTCAGTAATGCTCCTCTAGGAGCATTGTTCTGTGATGTTCAGCTTCAACATTTGCCTTCCAATAACATTAATAACTGGACATGAATATCACATGTGGATACAAGCCCCATATTGTCTCCAACAACTGTTGGATCACAGGTTGAATAAGTTTTTGAAACTTGACAGGGTTAAAGGTGCTAGCTAGTTAATACCTTCAACTCTTGGCAATAATGGATTTCATAGGTCTACACGGAAACATTCACCCCACTGGGGTTTATTAAAAAAAATATTGTTCAACTGCTGCCAGATTCCCAAATGGATTTTATTCCTTTAGAAGTGCCGCAGGTGCCAATTTTTAAGTGCCAATTTTTGTAACATGTTGGGAGGTTGAAACAAGTAACTTCTCAAAACTAGTTAACAAGTGTGCTACTGTCTGAAAGAAAATCTTATTGCTAACCATGTTGGGTTACTTTCTGAAAAGCAAACTCCTAGGTTTTCTGTGACCAATTCACCTCTCTCTTGCCAGTCATTCATAGACATAGAGACAAACATAGAATTGAAGAGTTGGAAAGGGACCATGAGGATCATCTAGTCCAACTCCCTGCAGTGGCAATTGAACCCACAAACCTGAGATTAAGAGTCACATGCTCTTTGAGCTGAGCTATCAATCAGTGTTAATATGAACTTTCCATAACGTGGCACCCACCTACTACATTAGCCACAGCCAAAGGCATGAAGTTAGGGGAATCCGGTCTGTATTTGCTGAGGAACCTCTTCCCTTTCATGTAGGCTATATCACTGATCATCCCAAATGTTGTGCATGCTGAAAGGAACCTAATATTTTATTGCTCACAAGAGAGCAGAACTCTATAGATTGCTTCCTACCCAGATAATAAATTCTCAGATATGCCAAATTTATGAAAGCAAGCCTTACCAGAGTCAACTGCAAAATGAATTACCAAGTGCCCTGCTCAACTTATTTCCTACTCTTAATTAAGATAAAGCAAGTCCTCTCTGAATTAATCTTTAAATAGCTTAATATCAGACATTAGGGTAGATCACGTTATTAAAAATTATATGATCTAGGTCAGTAGCAGCAATCATTACAAGGGTTATAGAACTCACTTCAGTGGCAGTGTGTAGCCTGTTTTCTCTTCCCCTTTCTGCCTTTGACAGAAAAGGAGGATAATGATCCTGCGGAAAGAACTGTTAGGGCAAATTATCAATGGGAGACTCACAAATTTCAAAAGCACCCTATGCGATGCTAAAATTTGCTGCCACCCCCTTGCTTCTCATGCTCAATTCAACACCATTGCTACACCAACCCCTGTGGTAACAGCACCAAGTGCAGCTGAACCAGTCACACTACCCTAAAGCCACTTCTGAAAGCATCACATGATATTCTGGGAAGCTGGAAATCAACTCTTTTGCCCCTGCTTTTTTTCTCATGGTCTTTCTTGTGGGGTGTAATCCATTGGAGCAGTCAAATACAACATTCCTTGTTTCCCTAGAGTGGACACAGGCAGGGGGATGTTACTCCAGCCAGTAGAATTTCCTGTTTCACAGGTCTGGAGCATCCTTCCCCTACATGTGACCAGGGAGATGGGCGTGACCCTGGCTGACTCCATAAAAGAGCTGAGTCACACTGCCATCTGTCTCTCTTGATGCCATGCTACTCTTCTGAAGCCATTTTCTTCTCTTGATGCTGTTCTCTTAATGTATTTTGCTGACTGCTGGCTCTCAGCTAGCAGCACATGGGCTCAGTCCCCATATGGGATGAACCCACAATTTGTTCTTTAACTACTAGCTAAAGCCTGCCCTCGGGGATCATTTGTTGTTGTTGTTTAGTCGTTTAGTCGTGTCCGACTCTTTGTGACCCCATGGGCCAGAGCACGCCAGGCACTCCTGTCTTCCACTGCCTCCCGCAGTTTGGTCAGACTCATGTTTGCTTCGAGAACACTGTCCAACCATCTCGTACTCTGTCATTCCCTTCTCCTTGTGCCCTCCATCTTTCCCCACATCAGGGTCTTTTCCAGGGAGTCTTCTCTTCTCATGAGGTGGCCAAAGTATTGGAGCCTCAGCTTCATGATCTGTCCTTCCACTTCAGGGATCATACTCTGAACCAAATGTTAGTAAACGTCTTGTTACTTTTAAGGAAAGGCTCTTGTGTCTTTATTATTTTAAGAGGGATAAAAGGGGACACTAGGAATTATCTTCACTAAAGAGATTCAAAGAAAGCCGCAAACTAGCTTCCTGCTGTACTGAGGGGAATTTGCTCTGCTACATGACTCACTAGCATGAGTGAAGGAAGGATAATATTCAATCAATATAGCCTCTCCTAATATCCTTAACATTCCCACATTTCTTCCTGTACTTTCTGTGAGGCTTACTGTGTTTGTGTTCTAAGTGCATGCCCGATACTCCTTTCCCAATCCACAATCCTCTAATAATTGTACATTAACTCCTCTCATTTTCTTCCAGCACCTTTCATTCCATTTGGGGGAGGGGAGTTAGGAGGGCCACATGACAGTGGGCTGTCCGTTACCTGTTTTCCCATAACAGATGATGGGGACACCCCTCACTTCCCTTTATGTGCCTTTATGTGCTTTTATGTGCTTCCTGGCTGGGTGCTACTTTCTGTAGGCAGCTACAGGGCAAACCTGGACATAATTTAAGCACGTTTGTTTTTAAAATGCTTAGACTGGTGGCCATGTCTCTTTAAAGCTTTTTCTGGTGCCATTTTCCTGTCCAATATCACACACACACCCCAAAAAAGCTGCTGTTTGTGTTATGTATGTATGTACAGAGCTTTTTTTCTTTAAAAAAATGTTTAGGGGTATTTTAGTTTTCCTACTCATATTGAAAAACTGCCCCTCAATGAGGCCAAACTAAGATTCACAAAATGTTTAGGGGTATACGTACCCCTGCGTCCCATCCAGAAAAAAGCACTATGTATGTATGTATGTACAGGTGTGTATGTAAACACACACACAAGTGTTTTTATGCAACGTCGCCAGCAGATAAAGATTTTATGGCACCATTCTTCACATGAGCTGTACCTGAAGATAATATGCTCATTCTAATGGAATGTGTTACCTTGTACCATCCAGATAAACACTGCAAAGAAGTGAACAATGGAAGATAGTAATTAATTCTCCCAGCACACCAGGTCTGAAACAACAATGTATATGAAGGACTACACACGTGTAATGGATTTTATACTTATAAGATGTAACAGAGGTGCTGTTTGTAAGGAGGAAGATGTGGTCAGCTGCAAGAATGATGTAACGAAGATTGACAGATGGCAACTGAACACTAAATAAGAATGGCAACTGAACACTAAATAAGAAATGATGCTGCTTTGGTAGGAAACGATCAACATATGTTTGCAACAGGAGCAGGAAACCTGATTTTAAGAAACTGTATAAAATTAAAGTAATTTGGTTGGATTTGCGTGCTGAGGTCCCCAAAACACCCCTACCCCAATAACTCACACATCACACATAATTTTTGTTTAAGGTTTTTGGCATAATTTTGGCCACAACTTTATTAAAATACAAATTGTGAGTGGTTGCTTAGGCACTGGTTATGACTAGCTGTCCCCCCCGCCTTGGGGGACAGCACTGACTCCCGGATTCCAGCGAGAGCCAGTGTGGAGGAACAAGATCAGGGATAACTGGAGCTGCGACACAGACCCTCAGCTTCTCCCCGCATGCTCCCAGGAGCTTACGTGGTCTGCACCCGATTCGAGGGGTTTGGACGAGAGGATGGTAAGCCCCTGAATTCCTTTAACAGAATTCCCGTGCAGCAGCAGCATTGGAGGGGCAGGCACAGCCAATCCATACCCCTCCACCAACCGATTTAAACCAATGCCTAACCGCCAACCTTACAAGTTGTGACGATTTGCTATGCAGTAGGCAAAAACCAATTGGCACACACTAATCAGCCAAAAGGAAAAATTCCTACCAGGCCCCCGCACCAATGCGGACGACCCCATGACAGGCATAGCAAGGTCAAAGCACAAGCCCAATCAAGGGAGGGCGGGCGGGTGATCCGGTGCCCACAGCGAAAGAGAAAGGAACATGCTGTGAGCCTTGTTTAAATAACCTCTGTTCCCACCCCTAAATTGGCAACATCAAATTTACCCCAGTAACATCAACCACCAATCCGATCCAAGCCCCTTCAATCTATCCTGCCTGGCAACTATGGGGTGCTTTGCTCGGCCCCATCCACAACACGTGCTCTCCTTTAATGAGAACACGCTTTGTCATAATTTGGAAAATTAATAAATATATTGGGGTGGAGATAATATGCTCACTCTGAGGCACATTCCTGGTTTGAATTTTGCTTTCAGTGACCTCCTTGTGCAGAATGTGAAGCAGCCAATGCAGTCCTCTCCACACTCCCCTTTCTACAAGTTAAGACACAAGATTGAGACAACAAAGAAAATCAGACTGCAATCCTGTACACATTTATCTGGGCAGAGGGTGCATTGAAAATAATGAGACTTAATTCTGAGTAAACAGTTGTACGTCTGCATTGCCAAAGTCTAGCAACCAGTTCCAAATGAAGCAGCCTCTCTTATCAGGAAAGAAAGCAGAATCCACTTGCACTTCTCTTTACATGCAGAGATCTGTCCTCTTCATTAAAATGCATAGGGAGACCAGGATGCTAAAGTGATCCTCCTGTATAATGGATTGCAAAATGCTAGTTTGGGACATTTCTTTTTAAAAAACCCATGACCAGTTATCCTAAGAAATATAGAGAATAATTATATCGACTTATTTAAATATACCTCTTTTTTTAAATAAGTGAGCATTTCAGGCTTCTTACGTGACACATGGAAATGATGCAAAGTTCATAAAAAGAGGAATTTGTGTGTTTATTTTTTAATTTCTATCTTGCAAAGGCCACAGTGGTTGGAAAACGTAAACACTGGATACCGTACTTTTATCCTGCTTATTAACCAAACAAAGAAAAATGGCACCAAAATTCATAATTGCCTGGGCATCCACAATACACATCATAGCTTGTCCAGCTTGTAACATTGGCTGTGCTATGAATCGTATATCATTTCCACCCATAAATTCTTATTGAGCTATGAATATAAATTGAGCCTATGCGCACAGGTGCCAAGCAAGCAGCTGATCAGGCTGTTCCTAAGCATATGCACAAAACGTCCATAATGCTAGCCTTCCTGCCCGTGAAACCCTTGCTGAAATTCATATTGATCCCTGTGAAGGTTGATCCCTATGAACTACAAAAATAACTACTTGTAAGTAAGTGTGTGTGCAGAAAACCTTTAAGATTAATCTTTACTCTTATGTATTTATTTAAGTAAATGTATAACCAGCCTTTCCATTGGGACCACAATGTTCAGGGCAGCCTCTGACAAATCAAAAAAGAATTACAAAATAAATAAGAAAAACAGCTTGAGAACAGGTCAGATGCCTCGTTCCCTACCACCATCTTGGAATCAATAAAGGGGAATTTCTTACAACAGCTCTGTTCCTGGCATGTTTGTTGCCAACTCTATGGAATTGAGGTGTTACAATCCAGGTTGCTACAATCCAACAATATTATACCAAATAACCTATATACCAAATGCTGCTCTGCTCCAAATTTAGAGAACCCTTTTCCTGGGCCAGGAGCAAATCCCACACCAGGCCAATAGCTTACTACAAGGAATGAAGTGGGATGAGATGGGGATGAGTGGATCTGATACTTAATGTGCTGCTTGTTGGTGCTGGGAAGTTATTTTGTGTTTCTGGGAGGTAGAGAGGAAGCCATCTAACAAGAAGCAGGCAGACAGCGAAATAAAGATGAAGCAATTAAATTCCACGAGCAACAAATGTTTCCATGGCATGAATGAAAGATGTACTGAAATGTATGACATTCATTCCCTTGCATGAAGACTCGGCGTTTCCCAAAAAATCATTTTTCTTGAAAGAGCAAGACAATCATGACACTCGACAAAAAAAAAAGTGCAACAGCTGAACATGAGGTGCTTATAAGTGACAGCAAAACGTGTTCAAACTATTAATCATGTCTGTGGCATGTCGTCCCCCCCCCGGCCCCCGCTCCTCTAATGTTCCCTTTATCTTGCTTTTAAAATGAGTTTGTTTATTCTTTTTTCAAAACCTTTGATGTGCAGTTCTAGTCTCAGTTCTGGTCCTTCGTGGATGTTTTGCAAATTTTTGTCACTGTTGTTTCTAGGTACAGGTGTCTGTCCACCACACTGTCATTTTTGTACCCCTTTCTAAAGTTACCCTACCTTCTAGACCCCCACAATTCAGCACCAACTATAGGTGGCTGATTCATGCAAATCTCCCCATACCTTGAGAGTTTGCAAAGAAGTGGTCATGGGAACTTGCATACTGCCTTTGAGTGGGCTGGCCACTGCTAGTCCACCCCACTTTCATGCTTCCTTGTCTGGCAGTTCAGAGCTTCACACAGAGAGAGATGCATATGAGTAAAACCACCACACACAAGGAGGGACCCGAACTAGGCAGCAGGACATCAGGGATGTGTGGAAGTGAGTGCGAGTCCCCAAAGTGCTCTATGAACAGGCTTTCAACACATGGAGAGATTTGCATAGGTGCTGAATTTTAGGGGCCCAGAAAGTTGAGTAACTCTAGAAAGGGATTCAAAAGGTTTGGGAAATATTATTACTGCTATTACTATTACACTTATTAGTCACTTTTCTCACAGAAGTGACCCAAACCAACTTACAAAAACAATATAAATACTAAAACCAGTTATAACAAACAGAACCAATGAAAGTCTAAAAACACATCTATACAGACAAGACAGGTCTTACAGATCCTGCCTTGCAAAAAGAGGCCACAAATACCTCAAACCCTTCAAATTAAGGGCCAAAAGTCTGGGTAAAAAGAAATGTTTTTTCCTACAAATAGATAAAAAAGAGATAAGGATTGTGACAAGTATACTGTGCCTCCCTGGAAAGAGCAATCCACAAGCAGCAAGCCACCACTGAAAAGGAGCATTTTCACGTTGGCACTGTTTGGATCTCCCATAGAGGGGACACACAGAGAAGGTCCTCTGTTGATGATCACAGAGTCCTTAGCTTCATGTGGGGGTGGGGGAAGAATGGGAATCCTAAGACACATAAGGTTTTACAGCATGGGAACAAATTGGTAGTCAGTGCAATTGTGCCTGAATATGTTGGGACCCTTCTTCCCCTGTCAACAATTTGGCCACCCAATTCTGCACTAGCTATAGATCCTGAATCATCTTCAAAGGGAGCCCCACAAAGAACACGTTGCAGTAATCCAACCTAGAGGTTACCAGAGTGTAGTTAGGATGTCTCTGTCCAAATAGTGGAACAACTGGGCCACCAGTCAAAGCTGATGGAAGGCACTCTCCACCACCGAGGCTACTTGAGTCCCAGTAATGGATTCAGAAGTACCCCAGGCTACATACCTGCTCCTTCAGAGGGAATGTAACCCCACCCAGAGCAGGCTACACCCATCCCTCCAATGGGATGACTTTCACAGATGGTGTGCATCTGTCTCTTGCAACAATAATAAAAAGGATTTGCAAATCTACAACTGGGGGCAGAACTACAGAAAAAAACAAGAAAGAAAGAAAGAAAGAAAGAAAGAAAGAAAGAAAGAAAGAAAGAAAATAAATCTTTCTTTCATGAGAGGTATGATAAGTGAACCTGTAGTAACAATTTTGTATTGTCAAGGTGCCATAAATAAATAAACATGCATGTGAAGAAAGGGTAAATCTGGATCAAAACAGCCCCCAAACAAGGAGTTAATACTGTTCTCACTGGCAGGGCAGAGATCCACCAAATACTGGAAAACTTCTATGGTTACATGGCTTGCTACTGTTTGGCAAATAACTCTTACAGAAAACTTTTAATGCATCAAAGCAGAGTTGCAAAAGGCGTTATTAAAGAGGACCACTTCTTGAAACATGGCTTCTGTCTTGCACCCAGAGGAGAAAGGAGCACAGTGCCTTTGTCCAAAAAACCATTTTTCTACCTGGATAACTTTCTCTTTCCAAATTCCCAAGTATGTAGCTGATGAAATTACACTTTAATAGTTTGGTCATTGGTGCTATAGCAAACCATTTCTAATAAACTCCTTTCCCCCCACTGTGTTTTGAGCTGTTAGTAAAGAATTATCACCTTCCTTCTTCCCACTCCATGGATAGGTCTCTTGGTGACCTCCAGACTATCGATAGTGATGACCTCTTTTGAACCCAGTTTGTTGCTAAGACTCTAGTCTTCTTTTTATTTAGTTGTCGATTCCTTCCGTTCTTTATCCTCCTCTTCTTTTCATCCTTCACTCCCATGGTCATTTCTCTTTGTGAAAAATATCATGCCAAACAATAGCACTACCTGTTCTCTGTTGCCTCTGCCTGACTGGAAAGCTTTTTTCAAGAAAAATGATTAGAGGCAAACGTTGTCTGGCAAGCAGAGCAGGGGAGCGAGAATGCAAAGTTCTACCATGAAGGAATTAAAATGCTATATGGTTACTAGCAAATAAATCAGTTAAATTATTTTACTGGTTGCTAGTGCCTTTTGATGCCCAAATTAAAATGCTACTATGGCTATTTTTGAAGCCCTAAACTGTTTGGGAACCAGGCCACTTAAAGGAGTACATGAATGTATAAAAAGAAGAGAATAAAGTTAAAACAGAGATTTTACTTTTCATTTGTTGAGGGGACCAAAAAGTATGTGTTTTGTGATTGATATAACACACTAAACCTACATACGTTTTATTGCCCTAAACATATGGGATTTTGTTCCTAACATAAAGTTTTTTTGTCAATTCACTAAATGAGAAAGAAAAACTATCAATATAATAAACATTTATTAACCTATTGTCTACTTTCTTGGAGAGGTATTTAACTGAACTTGGATAAATTCTGATACATCTTGTATGTCATGCTTCTGGTTGTTTTCCTCACATGTAAACTGCCATTGTGAAAAACTCTTGCCAGATAATTAAACTTTGGGAAATTATCTTCTAAATGATATAGAACCTGTATATGAACATGACAAATAAGTCTGGAAGTTGACATTTTCATTGAATTATCCTACTATATATTTTGGAAAGTTTTTTTGTCTCTTTGTACACCATGCATTTAGACCCCTGTTAAAATATTATAGCCAAAGCCTGCACGCTGGTCCTTGAGATAATAGACCAGGTCTTTGTCTATATTTGGATACAACTGGATGCTATTTTGAATCAAGACAGTGGACTGAACCTTTCAAAACTGCAATGATTTTAACCTCTGATTTCAAAACCGCACTATCCCCCCCCTCCTGTTTTCCAAACAATGCCAGGAACTTTCCTTTAGCACAGTATAAACATTAATGAATCATTCTACACATATTATTGGTTGATTCTGAAACTGTCTCAAAGAAGCATATCTGGCTCAAACCACACTGGGACTGATTCATGTTAAATAAACCTATGTGCATCAAATTGAATTTGATGTTCTCTGATATGCCTGTAACTGTTATGTATTCAGTGGTCTGTGTTTGCCTGAGTTTGAGTCTGGACTAAGGAATCTGAGCTCCTGAGTTCTGATTCGATACATGATATCCAATCACAAAACATTTCAGGATTTGGGCCTCTGCCATTGGCCCTTAAACTCTGAGTCATGGTTCTCAGCTTGGAAGTTTAGACAGCCAATCATGTTGGGAGTGGGAGTGGCCCAGTCCTTCAGAAATGTATATAAGCAGTTGCTTTGTCCCTGTTGTTCAGCTCCATAATTCAGTAAAGGTTCTTGCTGTTTTCACTGTGTCTTGCCTTGTGGGAACCCACCTACACTTTAGTAACACTGTTCACTCTACCAGTGTGGTGTTCTTGCTTCAGTTTTGCATCCACAGCCAAGCAGGGTGGCAGAGTTAGAATTAGAATTGTTAGAATACTGCACTTAAAAGCAGGGAGAACCAGGTTCACATCTTCACTCACCAATGAAGTTCACGGGGTGATTGTGGACCAGGTACTTTCTGTCTCAGCCTGGCCTACCTCAGTCACAGGACAGTTGTGAAGATAAAATAGAGAAAGAAAAGCCCTTGTAAGTCATCCTGAGCTCCTTGGAAGAAAGAGTGGGATAAAAATGGAATACACTGGTACCTCAGGTTAAATACTTAATTCGTTCCGGAGGTCAGTTCTTAACCTGAAGCACCACTTTAGCTAATGGGGCCTCCCGCTGCTGCTGCGCCGCCGGAGCACGATTTCTGTTCTCATCCGGAAGCCAAGTTCTTAACCTGAAGCACTATTTCTGGGTTAGCGGAGTCTGTAACCTGAAGCGTATGTAACCCAAGGTACCACTGTAGTTTTTAAAGAAACAATTTTATGCATCAGCTTCCTTGAATTTCACATGACATTGTTTCAGCAGTTTTTAATGTAGTCATTATATCCTGGAAATAGATATATTTGTCAGGAATTATATATCATCATGAAAAATACTGCAACAAAACTATATCTGCAATTATAACAATATTTCATAATCCTGCAGCAAGGAAAAACAAAGTTTCATAATTCAAAGTATGCTTTCATTTAAAATATTTACCACCACTCCCTATTAAATATGGATTAGCTAACATCCTTCTTCCCACCCTTTTACCACTTGTTAATTGTTTCAACATAATTGCATATATGTTTCTGCAGTAAAAGTTGTTATGCATAATTTGCTATGCATTAAAAAGTACCCCCAAAAAATTAAGCGTACAAAAAAGTTAACAATCAAATTACATGGCCTATTGCACACTTCTAGCAAACATCTCTCTTCCTTCTTTTATTAAAGTCTACTATTAATACTAGGTGATTGTGACAGCTGTGCTTTCATAAACCAGGTTAAGAAGGAAATAGGGTTTTATTACTTTTCCAAAGACAAATAGATAAGTTTAAAGTAAGGGAAGTCTTATCTAATTTCTACCAGTTGTAAGAGAAGTACCTGAAGTACAAAAAGAAAAGTTATTTGGACAGAAGTGGCAAAAACAGTCTTCCCCAACACCCTCTCATTCTCTCTCTCTTCCTCTCTGTCTCTGTGTGTTTGCTCAATCCCAACAAAGGTATTCCCAAACTGCAGATTTTTGATCTTTTTCTATGGAACAACATGACTCTCTTTGCTTTTTAATGCTATTTCTGGTAAGGGAGCAATTCAAACCCACCATTACTCAGTTTGTACAAATTGTTTTATATGTCAGAGCTAAGCATAGTTTTGGATAATGGCTGTATTTCAACAACAGTCAAACCTATACATGTCATTTTTATTTCATTACTCATTTGCTCCATGTTTTCCTATGGAAATCAATGGACTTCAACCATTCTGCATTTAGAGAAGAAGGTGTACAATTCTGAATTCCACAAAGCTACACTGCACCTACTACTAGGGAATACATTTTTATTACCTACAAGCAGCTCAAGTTACATATAGTGTATTCAAAATAATTATCATGTTGGTTGTCGTGGACAGTATTTTCTCTTATCTTACAAAGATCTACTGATATGAACTTTTATGCATTTCAGGAAGATGCTACTCTGGTGAGTAAGTGGAAATGTGTTGTACGTATTACCAAAAGGCATGCATTTAGGTTTACTCTCAGAGGAAAAGTACCTTGGAACTCGCTTATGTTTTCAGCCTGCGGCTCAAAATGTCTTAGCTAGCAAATGAGGTTTGCCTGACTGTTTAGCTCTAAACAAGTTCATTTGTTAAAACGGAATAACCTTGTTTGTCCTTCTCTATATGGAACAACTTCCAGCAACACAGTGCAGTTTTTCAAATCACTGAAGACATTATCTGTCCTCCTGTAGGGATTGCCAATGATCCATCTTTCCTCCTTCCAGACTATACACAGACTGCATCATGCCAGTTTTTACACACTCTTACAAAGGTTGGGTGCCACCCCCACTCTCTGCTGAGCTGTGGCAATATATGGGGAGGGGGACGACTTCCAGGCGCTCACCCAGGGTTTGTGGTCTTTCGAGAATCAAGACTTGGTGGAGGCTGTTGTGGCTTTACGTGATATGATTTATTCATATATTTACACCTGAAATTAGATGGAGGGGGTACAGATCTTACAGCATGGTCTTCTCAAGAACGGCTTGTTCCACAGAGCAATGCTGCACTGGAGTCCAAGGCATCTCTCCCAGCCTGCCAAAAGTGGTTCTCCTCTCTTGTTCTTGGCACACCTTGCTAGAGACCCAAGGCTCCTGCCAAACAGTGGTGTAGGAAGGGTGGGTGTGGTGGGTGTCAACTGCTCCGGGTGTCATCAATGAGGGGGTGTCAAAATGGCAAAAATATGAAATTGGTGTTTTTTTTAAAAAAATGGGCTCACAAAACTTTTTAGTTCAGTCAACAAGTGCAACAAAGCGTGGCTGGCACTAGGTGCCACACCTCACATCTCACCTGGGAGTGACATGGTGGCTTTGTCACCTGCAGGCTCCGCACTGCCTGAAATGGCAGCATGGGGCTTGCGTCTGCTCATCACCTCTCCCTCAGCTGCCCTACAGCTGAGGGGGAGGCAGTGGAGAGGCTTTGCACAGTGCGCCCTGCCCTAACTCTCTCCGCCCCCAGGTGCAGGGCGCGTGCGCTGCTCCGGGCACCCGAGTGGCTAGCTATGCCACTGTTGCCAAATACACTCTTTTCCTGTCACACATACACCATCACCTTGGCAACCTCTGTCACTGGTGAGCTGCTTCTTGGATTGGAACCACTATAGCCACAGTATTGTAATCAAGGGTGCAGGGAAGGAACATGCCCATATCAGAACTGTTACGGGGAAGATGGGGAGGGGAAGATGACTGATGAGGGCGGACTTGAATTGCCCTGCAGTAGTGACTTGTGGCTGGTTACTGGCTAGCTGATTAGCTAACAGCCCATGCTCATGCTAGGAGCTTGCATCCAGTCAGCAACCACATGTTGCATTGTGATGACTGAGTCATTCCCTGCTTACTCTGTTGCCATTAGTTGCTAGAAAGTGTGGGCTTGCCCTTCTCCTCTTGATGGTCTTGGAACAGTGCACTGGTGGCAAATGGTGGCCACCAGAGAATCACCTCAATGGACACTGCTGCCCAGAGCCTCACTGTTTCCGGTAGTTTATACCCAGGTAAATGTGCATAGTGTTGCAGTCTTAGAACATCTGTCTGTCTTCATCCCAAATTCAGGTTCAAGCCACACTGTTAAAAAATATATAACTTGGCTTGGCCTGACTCCAAGTTTATCCATTAACAGGGGCAAGGGGTGAATGCGAGACTGGGTATGGTTATTTATATACTTTATAGAACTTGAAAGGTGTAGTCAAATAACAGTCAAAATAATCAATAAAGAAGGATCTACATTTTCATTTTCAAAGAATCTCAGGCTTCCTTTTGTAATGTTCCATTTGAGAAGCAGCTATCAGTAGTAAGATATTGCCAGGTAGCAAACCTTTATCCACTAACCTAGAAGTAGGTCTCTTTGAATTCTCTGGGACTTACTTAAATTGACATATATAGAATTATTGCCTAGCTTCTGACACTGTTACAGGCATGGCTGTATCACCTTCTAAATTATTTCCGTTCCCCACACGAGAGAAAACATAAAACATTGCCAATTGGAATGAATAACAGGATTATTTTGGGTTTCTATATAAGTTTCATAATTCTTACATTTTTTATTTTATATGTAACAGCAGAAGCAGTTAAGAATTTAGCAGGAAGAAAAAATGAGTAAAAAGAGTAGCTTCAATTTGTAATGCTGCTTCCTTATCATCTTAGGAGGCTGCTCATTATATAAATTAAACAACTGGGGAAATTATTCTTTAAAGCAATTGGTTTATAAATCAACTAAGTATATATCACTTTAAGACACGCACGCACCATAGCAATTTCTGACCTTTTGATGTCAGAAGGTGTAATCAATCCACGTTGATTATTTGCTTTAATGTGTGCTGGCAACTAAAGTTTAAATGCCAAATAGTGTTTCTTACTTCACATGTGAGAGTCTGAGGGGCATTTATTGTAAAAGTTAAACAGAGTGACAGCTTGCTTTGGTTGATGTGCAAAGTTCTTGATGGTGCTAGTTTACTTTCTCCCATAATAAGCAGTTAATAGAAATTCACTGACCTGCAGTGCAGGCTTAATTTATCACGAACAGCAAGTTGATTTAACAGGATTGGAACGCAGTAGAACAATAGATTTTTTGTTGTTGTTGCACCTCCTGGTGATCTTTAGACATTTTGTCAGTGAAGAAAATCAGTCTTAACATCCGGGAAGGCCTGTGTGACTTTGAATAATTAGGCTACATCTGCAAAGGTAATTGATCGATATACACCAAATCAGAGCCAACAAGAAATTAGAAGATATCTGTTGATTATTTCCTTTCAGCTGAAACCTTTTCAGTGCATAATGGTGCCATTGCTTGATTATGTTTGACAAATGAGTTCAGTATGTTTAATATCTCAGCAAAAAGACATTGACCTGTTTTGCACATCATACTTAAGCCAAACCATGGCATTGTGCAGACACACGGCCGTACACATTCTAGGAGAGGAAACTATGGCCACTTTGTTCCTCTCCAGTCTTTCTGCTGCACTAAGTCATGGTTTGGCTTAGCATGTCATCCAAATTCCAGCTCATGGTTTAGCCCTCTGTGACAAACCACAGGCTGTAAGCCATAGAACAAGCTTTAGTTTTACATCATGGTTAATGTGGAGAGTGCTAAACCATGAGCCCATGTCTGAATGGCATGCCCATACCCTCCAACATTTCTCTGATGAAAATACGGACGTCCCATTCCATAATGATAATTTAACTATTTATATCCCACAATCTTACTGGGTTGCCCCAGCCTATCTGGGCAGCTTCCAACATAATAAAACATTAAACATTTTTTTAAAACTTCCCTATACAGGATTGCTGTCAGGCGGCTTCGGGATCAGATAACTCCATACTCTCCAGTGAAAATAGGGACATCCTACCATACCCTCCAACATTTCTCTGATGAAAATAGGGATGTCCTAAGGAAAAGCCTGACATTCCTGGATCAATTCATAAACCGGGATGGCTTCTCTAAATCCGGAACATTCCTGGTAAATAGGGACACCACACCACAGTTGTTGTGTTCCACTATTAACTGAGATATTAAAACAAGCACAATTAAAATACGCTAGAGAATCTCCATGGAGCTTTCCACTTCAAGTATCACTGCTTCTATATCCATTGTTATTTAAGAAATAAAAGCTGATGAAACCTTGCACAGTCAAGATGAGAAATGTCAAAGCAGACAGAAGCAAGTCAGCCTGTCTTGAATACCTCACTTTCTGTTCAAAGGCTGACACATGCTTTGCCATTTGAACTAAATTACTTTCCTCCCTATTCATCAGTTGTTTAAAATCATTATTTCGCATTCTGGATCATTCTTAATTAGCCAAGTAAGAGAACATACCTAATTATATTTTCTCTTTGCTGTTTAATTAACAAAGTGTGACATTGTATTGAAACTTCTTGCCTCAGCATTGCAGTTGATACTCATTATGTAATACATTAGAAGGCAGAAAAATCACAAATAAAGTGGCAAGAGGGGTGGGGGTGGTTAAAGAGGATGTGCAGGGCAGAATAATATTTTTGTATAGGGCTTTTCTTTAGGGGGGGACAAGTTTCTGTGTTATAATTAATTATGTCACTTTAAACTTAGTCTTCTGCCTTGTGTTGAATTTTAGATTGTAAGATGCGTGGTGCAAGGACCTGTCGTCCTATGCTTATAGGAGAAACTACTTCCAAAATTCACATGTGTGCATGTGAATGTGTGCTACCAGGGCATTTTTCTAAGAAAGCCTTTTTAGAATGGTGCAGAATTTCTACTCCAGTGGATAAGGCTGTTTTTCCCCACTACCACCTTGGGTGGATATACTGCTGAAGAACAGCAAGGGAAGAGTGAAGCTGGTGATGATTCCTAGAAGTGTCACAGAATGGGAATGGTATGAGAGGATGGCTGATGCCCAGTTGGGGCGAGCAGTGACAAGCCTACATTTTTGGGGTCCTGAATCTTGAACTCTTATGAAGGCCCCTTTGCAACCAGCAATGAGATCTGGGTAACCACTGTTATTTTCTTCAATGGGGTTGTTCCATGACAGATCACCACACCTTTACAGCATCTTTACTACTAACTGTCAAACTTGGGGGTTGTTGAAATATATACCAAAAAAATGCCACTCAAATTAGGTCTATTAGACCCCAAAATTTTAAGCAATGTGGACTAGAGTTGCTTCTGTGGCCCCTCTGGGATTGGGGGCCCTGAAGCTGAAGCTTCAATATTGGATGGTGCCTTCAGAGCACATCTGTGGACATTTTGTCGAAAGCAGAATATCTTATCTAAGACACGAGATGCTATACCTGTAAAACTACTGGATTGAGCAGGGCATTGGAGTGGTGTTGGACCACCAGAGCCCCTTCCAACTTTAATCCAATGATTCTATGCTGCAGGTTTACCTGCAGGGTAAAGCGTATCAAAACCGTATCAAAACCAAGCCAGACAAACCTTAGGACAACATAATGAGCAAATTGTCTTAGGCAAAGTGAACAAAAACTACAGCCTCATTTGTATATTGTCCAGTGTGTCTATAAAATTTATGATTCTGATAGTTGTGATAGCTCACAAGCATTTAGCGGTGGTCACTATCACCGGCAAATTGCTGATTTAGATGTCTTGTGACAGCATGGCCATTTCAAAGTTCTTATGAAACGGGATTAGCTGGTTTCCTAAATCTGACCAGCAAATTGATATAAGCAACTTGGTAATATGCATCTTAAAACAGAAAAAATAGAAAACAGATATTTTTGAGAAATACAGCACTGTCTTCCAGATGTAGCCACTGTTGAAACTGCCCAGCAACCCAGTGAAAAACAAAGACATTCAACATTTTCAAATGTTATTCATTTATTTCTGGATGCTAAAAGGTGTAAGAGTCAATAGGTCAGGTTTTTTCAGTTTACCTATAATAATTGCTACAGTAAATTAGACAGGTGTAGGATGATGTTAATGGACACTAAATACCGTGCATATTTATACTTTTCTTTTGAATCCTCCCCCACAGCGAAGTAAAAAGGTTTCCAAATTTCATAATTAGAATTTTATCCAGCTTCTTTCTAAGTTGCATAAGTGGTTGAGGGAAAATAATTACTAGGATTCTCTCCATAAAATGTATCTTCTGCCCTTCATATAATCTCCCTGTAATGTTAAATTCAAGATAGTGTGTGATAAACTCCAAGTAGACTAAACGTGAAGTACTATACACATTTTCTTTAGGAGTAAGTCTAACTGAATACTTACTTCTGAATTACAGTCTCCATAAGAGTACTGTAATCGTGTTAGTCTACTGCAGAAAAAAATGATATTGTAGCATCTTAAAGACTAAACAATTTATTGTGACATAAGGTTTTGGGGACTTCGGTATACTTCATCAGATATATGAGCCATTATCCTAAGTTGCAGGTATATGTGGGGGGGATTGTAAACAGTGAAGTCAGAAGGAAAGGAAATGTGGAAAAGTTTTTGCTTTTTTTGTTTTTGTTTTTTTGTTTTTTAAAAAAGGTTAAGGACCCCTGACAGTTAAGTCCAGTCACAGACAACTCTGGGGTTGCGGCGCTCATCTCACTTTACAGGCCGAGGGAGCCGGCTTTTGTCCACAGACAGTTTTTCCAGGTCATGTGGCCAACATGACTAAGCCGCTTCTGGCGAAACCAGAGCAGTGCACGGAAACACCGTTTACCTTCCCACTGGAGCGGTACCTATTTATCTACTTGCACTCTGACATGCTTTCGAACTGCTAGGTTGGCAGGAGCAGGGACCGAGCAATGGGAGCTCATCCCGTCGCAGGGATTTGAACCGCCGACCTTCTGATCAGCAAGCCCAAGAGGCTCAGTGGTTTAGACCAAAGTGCCACCTGCGTCCCTGTGGAAAAGTATAGACAGTGATATTACATTATTAGCAGTGACTAGTTAAAACACACACATGCCAGTTGTTGCTAATAACACAGACCATATTGGCTGTAGAGAACAATATGGGAGAGACATGTTTTGTTGCAGTTGGGGCAGATGAAGGTGCCCAATAGTTGTGGTACTACAGAGATGCACCATAGCGTTTCTTCTCTCTGTGCTCCTCCCAGTGGTCATTCCTCCTCTGGTCACATTGCCAGCCTTCATGTCACATTTGCAGACATCTTTGTAATGCAGAATTAGCACAGACATTCTGTCATTGGTAAGCCAATTAACATATGTCAATCCACAAGAGATAACACTGAATCTCTTGATGAATTTTAATTCAGCAGTTTCACATGGTAATCTCCTTTGAAAGTTCCTCTGTTCCAGTATGGCCAACTTAAGGTCAGTTGCAGAGCATCCCAAAAGGCTGAAATATTCACCTACCAGTTTGGGGGTATTGCCATTTTTGACACCAGACTTGTTTCTGTTTACTCATTTGCGTACAGACTAGCTAGTTTGTGCTATGTAGAATGAGAAAAGACATCGATGGCAGAGGAAGGAATGGAAGACAAGTGAGTGATCAATGTTATGGATGACATTATTAGGTTCTGCAATCATGTTACTAGAGTAGACATAGGGACAGAGTCACATCTGGGTCTATGCACAGTATGTGAAAGGAAAATTGTCCAGGATGAACTGTAGGTCATTAATTATAGTTTTGAGTGTTTTTATTTGGAAGCAGTAAGTGAAAAGTGGTGGTCTGTCATTTTCTTTTCTAAGTCTACCCTGTAGTATATTATTCATGGAAACCTATGTGGCTTTGCTGATCTATTTATTTACTTTGTTGAGTAGATATTGTAGTCTGAAGAACACTTGAAGTAATTTTTAAGTACTCCAATCGAACTCAGTAGGGCTTCGTTTTGAGAGACATGTATAGGATTGCAGTGTTAAACATCCTTCTTTATTCACATCTATAACTGGTAAATAAGGAGTCCATACGGGAATCTTGAAAGTTTTGCGCTTAAATGAGGCTTTGGGGAGGTAAAAACCTATGTGTGTTGGGATGAAAGATAGGCTACAAATGTAATGAATACATATAAAATATAGTCTGGATCATAAACACATATTTGAAAAAATGCTTAGCTGATAAGCCGCCCAATATAGAAAAGAAATATTGAACACTAACTCCTACTGATATATAAAAAAGTATAAAGACGTACTTCCATCATGATAATTAAACCTAAAGGCATTTTTCTATAAGCGGTGAAGAAGTTTCATGATCCAAACTATTTAAAGAAAAAAGAAAAAAGAAAAGAAAGTTATAATGAAATAATCTGGAGAGATTGATTTTTCTCTGAAAACTAAAGTAATAGGTCTAGGAGACACCATAGCATTAGAATGACCATTACAAGGAGTTGATAGAACATGACTTATTCCTCTAACTACCTTTTATTTGTTGCTGTAATGGTCTAGATTCTTGATGCTAATTCTGACAGACGGCAGTGGGATATGACCTGCCTTCCCACTGCTTGATATAAATCTCCACTGATACAAATTGAGTTCAGCCGCAGTGAACTCAAATGCTAATGCTGGTAACATAAGGCAACCTGCTGTTTGTTACCAGAAAGTTTTTAACACTGCCATACTCCCACACACTCCCTTTCACAGTGTAAATCAAAGTGGCACCACACCATTAAGGGCTGTAGCTGGATTTACATAAGACAACAGTGCACATAAATAAGGCATCCATCAGCATCAACGTTTTGTGATGATGCTTCCCCTCCCCCCGCCTCAAGGTTAGTGCTTATTTCCCCGAAACAAGAGGTGCCAAAGGCTCAGGCCTATGAGGAGGAATCGCACCCTGTGATCTGAATACTTATCCTATGAGCTGAGACAACATTACTCAGAGGTCATTTTTCTGATAATTTCTTTGAGATTCATTTCCCCTCAACTCCCTGCCCCACATAAAAAGAATTTCCCCTGGTTTTTTTGTTTGTGGGGGTCGCCATTTTCCCACTCATTCGTTCATTTATCTGGAAGTCTGTTTTCCACACACACAAAATCATGTTCCCAGTGGTTTGCAACAAAGGAACAGGGATGCATTTCAAACACTGTAAAAAAACAATTTCATAACACTATAACAAAACAATAGCAAATATGATAACATAAAACCACCACAATCCAATCCAATAAATATAACCAGATTACTGAAACAACATGCAGCATCCAGCAGCAAAAACAAGGGAGCATCACATTTTCATCTTAAGAAACACCACTTCCATGACATTGCTCCTTGCAATGTCCCTGAACAATGCTAAGTTCAGGGCAATGTGGGGTTGCTAAATCGTGACCAGGGGGCTAATACAGTTGTTTTCACTGTGGCTTGAAGTGATGGTCCAAAAAACCCCCACAGAAAATACCCTTTGTTGGGGGGCGGGGAGAAAGAAGTTTAGCAATGGTAAATTGGGAGCACCCCTCCAATAAGTTGTTGAAACATTTCATCTTTCAGCTACCCACTTCAGCCCGAACATAAGTATGAACTATAATGGCTGTATGGTTGGCCATGACAGGGATCTGCATAATCTGCAGGATTAATTTCACTAAGAAATCTGTTTCCTAGCCAGGAAGACAGATTTCCATAGAAAATTAATTTCTCCTTGTTTCAGTTTCAGACTCCAAAATGTCAATTAAAAACCCCAGAGGTCTTTGTGCATATGTATTTAGCACATCCAAAAACTCACAAGGCTCTGGATTCAGAATGAAAATACAGGGAAGGGTGGAATCTCACATAACCTCATTAGCTAGGGGAAATTAGGCAAAATACATGAGGCAAAAAAAATACAAGGGAAATTGCTCTAGCAGTTGACCTGGAGCATGTTTCAGCTTTTTAAGCAAGCAATTTGCAAACATTGTTTGAAGTATTCTCTTTTTAAAAAAAGAAAATCACACATACAGAAATCTGAAACCTCATTTCAGGCTGTATTGCTATAACTTTAAGCACAACATCTGAGGAACAGAAACAAGCCTACATCCAATTAGAGGCAGAGGTTGTTTATAACCAGCCAGGAGTGCATAAAATCCTAAACATTTTGGAACTACTAAAGAGAAAGAAAAAATATTGTATTATTTCAACTTAATTCTTATCTATACCAAATTTATAGCTAATAAAGAATGGGTCAACCAGCCACCTAAACACCTTTTTAAATTATGGTTTCTTTTTCTAGGTTTTTAACTGTTTCTATTTTATCTGTAAGCCACCTTGAGTCCGTCAGGAGAAAAGGCAAGGAACAACAACAACAAATCTCCTAAAGACCTTTTGACTAAAAGCCTCTCTACCCAACACTTGGTAAGCTTCCTGGCGGTGTGGGGAGTGACTGTGGTGGCAGGGAAGGTGGTAGAGCTTAGTGGTGACTATAGGCTACTCACTCACTTGCAGTCTCACCTACTTCCTAAGACTGGTTTGAGGAAGTTGAAGCAGTCATAGGGAAAACCTTGAACACTGCCCTGAGGTCCTTGAAGACTGAGCAAGATAGAAACATAGATCAATTAAAATACATCTGTGAAGTTTACAAGTGGGACATAAAGTTAATCGCATCTCACTGTTGCTTGTAGCTCACACCTGGAATTCAGTAAGGGAGTCTTTCAGGCTTTTTAATATGTAGGTGATATATATAATTACATCTCTGAAGTTTAAGTGTTATGTTCCCTTCTCTAAAATAGGCAGATGTTTTCTGGAAAGTTTTCTACATACAGTACTCTACTTCTTGGCAATATAATGCACCTCGTGTGTGACTTGACTTTGCTTACAGGGTGGCTGAGTGCATTGCAAAGGGTGGTGCAGGTGAGACCCCAGAGGCATTTTGCCCCGTCCCACAATGGGAAGGAGGGTGTCTGAGCATGATTGAAAGCAGAGGGCAAGAAGCCACCATTCCTTTTCTATTTTAGCGTCGCTTCGTCTTCATCTTTCTGAATTGCATCATGGTCCTGCACAGTCCCATTATTTCTCTCTCTGTCTGCGTTTCCCATTCTGCATTCACCCTGGTGGTGCTCATATGTGCTCCTCTCTTCACACTGTCACCTTTATGTTAATAACTTCTCTTGCTCTTTCACCTTCATCGCCCTGTTTCTTTTGCATTCCCATTAGGATGTGCTGTCTCAGCCTGAGAATGGCAAAGGCACAGGTCTCATCTTTCCTTTCAATACTCCCACAAGCTGCAGCCACACACACACGCCATTTCTCTTGGTCAGTGCCTCTCCAGTATGTCATCCTGACTCTTTTCTTCCCCCAACAAACTGGGGCATCTCCAGAATCTCCCCCTTTTCCCACCTTTATTCGCTGCTAAAACCTTCTTTGATTGCTTAATCACTCACCAGCCTTCCTTTCCTGTTGTTGCTTCTCTGAAGTCTCTCTTTCTCTGAACTATTTCTTCTCTTTCCTCCTTTTCTAATTTTTCACAAACCTATTGCGTATTTGGATCCTAGTATTCCCTTTTGCCACTATCCTATGTTTTCCATTTACCTTGAACACCCTTCAATACTCTTTCTAGCCAACTCACCTCCTTTTAAAACCTCTCTTTCTGCAGTGGAAAATTCCACAAATGGCTGCCCTCTGTGCTGTTTACTGACAATGTCCTCTCTCAAACCCCCATCCTTAACTTTTGCTCACCCCCATCCTTCCCTCTTCACTTGCATTTAGTATTACATAGGGCAGTCTTCACACATGTTGCACTCATTGTGACGCAGGGAGAGGCTGTACCATGGTGACAACAGCAGCAGCATCTTCTGCAATGTTAGTGGGGCAGACCCAGTGCTTTTTTCTGGGGGGACACGGGGGTACACATACCCCTAAAAAATTTGTGAATCTAAGTTTGGCCTCATTGAGGGGCAGTATTTCAATATGAGTAGGAAAATGAGAGTAGCCCTAAACATTTTTTTAGAAAAGAAAAAAAAGCACTGGGCAGACCTATTGGGAATGACATAACCAGCTTCTCAAAACTCATCTGCCTTTCCCCCCGTCATCTCTAGATCATTTTGTAGGTGTTCGGGTGCCTGGGACTAATCCCCATGACACTGCACAGTATGTGTGTATACTATGCCACCACCTTGCTTACTTTCACTGGCTTTCAACGCTGTATATAGAGCCTTTCTCCAGTCCTGATGGAAATGCAGTATTGCCAATCACTTGTTTCCCCCCACTAAGGCTAAAGGGTCAATACCCAGACCTATGTTCTGTTTACAACCGATGAGGGAGGTCATGTTTGTTCTTCCTTAAGGTAGCTTGCATACCAAATTGTCATGTAGGATGCCATCACATAACTTGCTACGAATTGGAGCTTTCATCCCATTGTGACTAGAAAGTGTAAGGAGTGCAGTGGGGACAAGGTGTTAATGCCCCCCTTCCCCTGCACCATGGTTCTGACCCAGTTTGCCCCCTGCAGGCTATTTGTTTAGCAACAATCAGCACGAAACTACATGTCAAAAGGTCTAGTTGGCCCCAAGATGTGCATGTGCTGTGTCCGAAATAGTATTTTTAGTTGGTGTATTTTCACTCCTCTTTCAGTGACACATTAACCTTTAGCACGTTAACTCAGAACCACAAGAAATACTGTCCTTGACCACGTTTGCAAGGTCTGGCACTGTGTCCCATGCACACACAATCCAAGGTCACATATCCTGAGCAAACTGTTAAGCTTTCCTCCTCAGTCCTTCCCAAAGTTTGCTTTTAAATGCGCTAACGAAATATTTCTTTTCCTCAGCAGTCAGTTCTGAAATCTCCTTGAAGAAGATTTCAAATAATGTCAGCTTTATTAATGTGGGAAAGTTTTGCCTTGGCTAATAGTGACTTGAGGCCATTTGTCTGCCATGAGGTAAATATTTAGCAGCAAGTTAAGTCAATTCAAAACCAGTAGAGAAGCTTTTTAGTCTCTAGCAAGTTCTCTTCCTCTACCCAGTGTAGTTGCTGGCTCAGAATTCAGTTACTAATTAAGGACAGAAATTAATGCAACTGCTGCACTATTCTTACTAAGGACTGGGGGGAAATCTGCTTTCTTGCTAATTTACCATAAGGTGGTTTTAAAATGCACATTACCAGAAAATTTTCATCATACATTTAAGAAACTCTTGGCTACAGATCAGACTATGTTTTTATAGAAAGGAAGTATTGCATATTGCAGAGTCTGCTCTACTTTATACAACCAAAACTTGCACACCAAAGTTAGTGAATATGCAAGTGTATTAAATATTAATCTTTTGTTAGATTGCTTGTTTTCCATTTCTGTACTAAATGTGGCCAATAACTATCCACACTTGTTTCCTTGTAGCTGCTGAGCTGGTGTTCAGGTAACCGGTTACCAAGACAACATATTGGCAAGGGATTATAGCAGACACTTGTATGTGTATAACTCTGAATAATGCAAACAATGTTAAGTGATACATTTTTCATTATGCTAACATAATGCACCATGTGATGCCATCTACTCCTTGCCTGTTGAACATGCCCTTATTAAGAATCCAGTTTCAAACCTTACCGGTGGGTATAATGATTGCTTTATTAAAACAATAAAAATACTGGTACATACACTTTTTCAGATGAGTTCCATACACAGTTGGTGAAACATCTGTTCAACTTACTGTAATTCACTTTTAGAAGAAAATAATCATTGCCAAAAAAATCACATTTTCTTATACTAGGGGGTGGGGGACAGCGATCACTCAATCTTCTGTGTGGGCTTATGCAAGGATACACCCACAATGTTTACAAATGGTTAGTGACATATTTAAGCGGCCTTCTGCAGCCTGGGAAGTGTTGGTTTACAAATTTTCAATGTTCCTTCAAAATTAATGGAGTGGCAGCAATGCAGAATGTAAATTGCAAATTGCAAACCATTACTAAAAAGGAAAGCTTAATTTGACCCCATCAAATGAGCTTGAACATCCACGAGAGGTTGAGAGATCAAAGCTGCAGGATAAATAAAAGGGGCACCTTGTTGTGGAAGGGAGTAGTCAGAAATAAGTCCTGATGGTGCACACAGCAAGCCGCAAGTCTAAGCAGAAGGTGCTAATGACAACAGTCCCAAGGACAATGCTAGAGAGGAGTCAGACATTCCAGTGATCAAATGCACATTCAGGTCCAATGCTATGAGAAAGATTCAAAGTCAAACCGTAAGGCCAGGTTCCCATCTCTGAAGATCCAGGGTTGGAATCTTAGGGTCAGTCTCAAAATCGCAGTCCAGTGGAGTTCCCAAAACAGTCAAACTGTGGTCTATCAATGGCAAAAACTGAGCAAGCAGAGTCTCTGCCTTGCTTCTCTTTTTGTTCCTCCCAATCTCATTGGATGCACCTGAGCTTGCTCCAGCTGAGTAGCTGTGTCTCTCCATTTAACAAAGCCTGTGATTGTCACCTGCCCTGAGATTAAACAAGCTGAGTGACCACAAACCTCTTCCCAGACCTAACGAATCCCATGATCTTCACCTCATCAGCTAGTAAGCTGTGCTGTCTTCTCTCGCCTGCCTCAGTCTCTTAAAGCAGACTTCCCACACCTTAGAGCCCATCATGTTTGACAAGAAGGGGTCACCTTCAGTTTTGGGGATGTGTCAACTTCCTTTGACTCCCATGAACTGTCAGTTGCCCCTTCAGTGTCCTGTGAAGTCCACTGAATACCTCCTAAGCCCCCAACTTCCTCTTCCCCATCTTCAGCTTGCCCCAGTCAGCGGCAGAGCAAGCCGATTGGGCACCTGGGGCAGTGCATGCCCAGCACCCAGGGGCCGGGCCACCCACCCGTGGGGCATGCCGTGCCAGGGCAGGACGCTCCACAGGGCCTCCAAGAAGTCTGCCTGCATCCTCCCACTCAGCTGCCCTACAGCTGAGGGGAGGTGGCAGGCGGACTGTTTGGGGCAGTGTGGAGCCAGCGGGTGCCCAAGCCATCGCATCAGTCCCAGTAGAGATGCATAGCTTAGGCATGCTGCAGGCCCCGCAGTGAGTGCCGCCTGGCATTTTGTCACACACACCCCTTAGTGGTGACATCCAGGGCAGCCTGCCCCAACCCCCTTCCTCCGCCCCTGGTCCCAGTGTGTACCAATCATGGCCTCACCGGGATCTTCTTCCTCCTCTTCAGTGTCCTGCCAGTTCATGACACCAGTGTAGGCAAACCAAGTCTGAAGTTTAAGTTACCTCTTTATTTGGAACAGCAAAATATCACTAGAAGGTAGCACCAGAGGTTGTCGTTTCCCAGCTTTCATTATCCCTTCTTCTGAATGCAGCCCCATGTGATGAAATGCATAGTTACCTACATTATGCAAAAACAATAGAAAGCTAGCATTTTCCAGGGCATGCTGAAATATCAGTCTGAGCACATGAATGTGCATGGGGGGGGGGATATTTCCCACAGGAGGACGATGGAAAAGCTCGTAGTAATGTTCCCCATTCAGAAGTTATTATTTATTTATACCCTTATACACTGCTCATCCTCCAAAGACTTCCAAACAGCTTGCAAGGGATTCCTGGGTTGTCTGCCACCCAGGAGACCGCTTGCTGTATCATGTGCCTTCAGAACATTTTCTCAACCCCAAAAACTAAAGCTGCTCAATTGTTAACATGCTTTGGGACCGTAGCATAAATAAGAGAGCAATGGTGTACATTTACGCACGCTATTTGCATGACATTCTCTGTATATTTGTGCAGATATAAGTCAATGGTACAACCTGCTCATCCTATAGTGCCCACCCTAATTGGCCGTAGCTCTTTGGGGTCTCGGGTTTTTGTTTCCCTAGTCCCTCTGAATGCCTGAGGACATACTTTGAAGTGGAGATGATTGAAATGGAGACTTCACATGCAAAACATTGTGTCCCCTGGTTGGATCTATACTTTCCTCATGCAATCCCTGAAATCTGCATTACATACATACATACATACATACATACATACATACAGTGTTCTTAAGGCACTGCAGAGTCTGTAAACAATGGAGCTGATGTCCTGTTTGTGGGAATAGAGGGAGAAAACATTACTGGAACTAAAAGGGCCACAGCTTGATTAATAAGCATGGCATGAAAAACAGAACGACTTTAACCTAAGGTCGGTGCATACCTCCCAACATTTTGGGAGAATAAATTGAGGCACCCCCCTCCCGCCCTTGCCTGCTCGCTACTTCCTCCCCACACACACACCTTTATCTGCAGCTTCTTCCTCCCCCTCCACAGCCTTGGTAAACGCCATGCTGGCCTAGGGGGGAGCCTCTGCCTCCTCCTCTACTGGGACCACACAGAAAGGAGGAAGAAGAGTGGTGACATGCAGGGGCAATGTAAGATTTCATTCTGTTTTTTGATCCTGCGCTCTGGCACGAGACAACTGACTGTGCAGCCAGACCACAGGAGCCAAAATGGGACATCCAGGATCGGGATCAGAAGCTTTGGTTTGGAATCAACAGCAGTCGGTTTCCAAAAGTCTAGCCTGGCTTACTCTTTGCTGATGACATGCTGAGCTACCTATGCTGAGATTTTTGTTGGTTGGTTTTACATACCAATATTTGAGAGGGCGGGGAAGTGGGAAGAGGAGAAGACAAGTTCTCCTCAACATTCATGCTCAGGAAATATTCTATAAATTATATTGGAGGAGCAAAGTATTGCTGTTCTTGACCTTATCTGAAGAGTGAGCATTTTCCAAGTTGGATGGTTTGTTTTCCCCTCCCTACAAAGTTCTATTTTGCATAAACAACCATCATCATTACACTCTTTGATGCAGTGTAGAGATAATTTGATGAGAGGCTTATACAGATAACCTTTAGAATTTTCCTCTGTGGCACAAGTATCTATTTTTATAGAAACATAAATAGGAAAACAGAACATAGAGTGCTAGATACTTTTACTATGCAGAGATCTTCAGTGATACTCTTTTTAATTAGATCTTTGTTCCGCATCCTAATTAAGCAAGTATTATCTTACTTCCACTGTCCTGCCACTCTTCATCAACCTCTCACTTCCAGCAAAATCATTTCTGGCTCTTGAATTTGCTGTTTTCTATGTACAAAGGCACCCTCTCAAGATTGTTCAAGCAAAAAGAAGAAGCAAGATGCCTGTAGTTCTCTCTTGAGCATAATTGCCAACAAAACAGTTTAAAGTTGCTTTATATTTAACATAAATGTGATGAACTCTTCCTTTCTGTTGTTTGCAATTACAATACAGTGGAACCTCGGGTTGCGAATGTGATCTGTGTGGGAGGCACGTTCGCAACCCACAGCGTTCGCACCTGCGGCGTCACGTCTGCGCAGTACTTCCGGGTTTGGCATGTCCATAACCCGAAAACGTGCAACCCGCAGCGATCGCAACCCGAGGTAAGACTGTACTGACTTCCACAGTAAACTTAAAGGTTTCCAAACAGAGCCACCAGGAGAGGGGTATAGGAGTATATCTGCACAAGACCAGGGCCAAGGAGAGGAGGATGCAGACTCCAATAACAATAAAAAAGGAAGATGGTACCATGTACAGAATGAAAGTGATGAAGAAACTATGAAATTATGAAGCATGAGCCCATTCCCACCCTTTTGTGTTTTTAGCCAGTGTTTCCAGCTTTAGCTCTGATTGTTGAGTGCTATATAGAGAAACAGAGAAGGCCTAAAACGGACTTCAAAATGACCCTGGAAGTTCCTTCTTTAGACATTGGTGCCATAGCACCAATATGCCATGTCCACATCCAAATCCCCCCATACATGGCTGCCAAAGCAAATTACATCAAGAGATAGGATTACTGTAACATGTTGTGTATTAAATATCTGACTGTAAGCACTATATAGTGGCTGTGTTCAGACAATGGCATATGAGAACAAACCCAGTCTGACTCGTGCCTTCTGCATTCCCCTTGGAGAAGCCACTCACTATTTCTTAGCCTAACCTTCCTCACAAGGTTGTTTTGAGGATTAAAAGGAAAGGGCGAGAAGCATAAGCACCACCTTGTGTTCTCTGGAGAAAAAAGTGGGAGATAAGTGTAATAAATAAAGGAATAATCCTGAAGTGGAGAAGCAGTTCTTGGCATCAGGCAACAACATATCTAAGCTTGCAGAATGCAAGCTGTGTGTAATAGTAACCAATTACAAGCTTCAAGATTATAATTTTGATCAGTCAAAAGACATTCCTGCAGACTGTTGTTGTTGGCATCTGTCTGTCTCAGGAGACAATGGAAGAGTGTGGCTGCTATGGCTGTAGAGATCGATATGGGAGAAACATATTTTATTGCAGGTGGGGCAGATGATGGCATCCAGTTTTGCTGCTACACGTGCACCATAACGTTTCTCCTCTCTTCTCTCCTCCCAGCGGTCATTTCTCCTCTGGTCACTACTGTGGATACACAACTTAGCTGTCTGTCTCCAAAATGTAACATTCTTCAAACTGTAACAGTAGAATTATAAGCACAATACAAGGTATGATAATAGAAATGCTTCATTATTCATTTGATTCCAAAGGTAAAAGCAATTTCACACAAATCTTCTGCAGTTCTTACAATCTTAGCAATACAAAGCTGCACATATTAAATATAACCTATTGCATATAAAATTGAAGAGACAGCTGAGTTTTTAATATTTTCAATAGTTTTAGTATCTTCCGAAGCATAAGTAGATAATGCTTTTGTACAATACTGACTTTTATTTGATTATTAGTTTTAATACACATATACAAAGTATTCTGCGCTGGTTTATGCTGAGGTGTGCAATCATGATATATTTATGAAGTTTGAGAGAAATTCCTCCCTCTTTCCCTCCCACCCTATCCGATTCATTATCTACAATAAAGTCCTTGCAAAGTTTTTGAAAATTCTGGATGTTTCTCTGTTCTCTGAAAGTTCCAGAACAACAACCTGAATACGGGGGTTATTTATTTTCATTCTTGGGAGCTTTCTGGCCATGTATATTCATATCTGCACATGCAGCTTCCACCTCTTTTAAACAAGCAATCTGCTATTCAGACAGAAAGGTGCCAGACGAGAAGGAAAGCACTGGAGTGAATTACAAATTCCCTGTTTTTGCTGCAATATTCAAAACGTGAACTTCAAAGCTCACCTGTAGCAAGAGCTGAACATTCCAGGGGCTCCCCTCTCCCTCATTGCAGCACATCACCTCTGAGGGTATTCTCTCCACCCACTTGAGTTTCTTGTACATGAGGGGGCAATAATGCACCCCCAGGCATTATTACCTCTGCCAGGAACGATCTCCCCTCACCCCCAGATGACATGCTTAGTCTAGAATACACCACACCTGCTCTGTGCACTGGCAGCATATTGAATGTTTGCTCTCCATGGCAAGAGAGAGAACGTTCTCTGTGGTGGCATTATGGCACTATGAAAGATTGTGCCACACTCAGGGAGCACTCAAGCAGACAGCAGAGCAGTGTGGTGTTAATGTCGCCTTTAACAGAGAACGAGAGCAAAGAAGGAGGTGAAGGCTCAAACCGGTGTAAGGATTGACTAGATCGTTAGACATCTGGGGTTGGAAACGGACATTTCTGAAATTAAACTGCTCTAAACCAGTTGCTATAAATATTTGGGGGGGGGGGGGTTGTGAGCTGAGATGAACAGCCTCTATTATCAAGGGACATTTTGTGAAGAAATATGAAGCCCAGTAATAAATAACTGTTGGAAAAGAAATGCAGGATAAAAATACGGGGGAAAGGAAGAAATAAAAACCTTGAGCGTATTGACTTGCTTGTTGAAAGGAGAGGGAGAGGGAGAGGCAGTATGCCCTTTTCCAGTAAACTAGAAAGACCCAACTGGTAAGGTCCAACTGGCACTTGGTCGTTCCCTCCTCATATAATTGCATCAGTCACCAGTTGCCCTAATTTTGTGCAAGAATATGATGAGACAATCATGCCCTATCCATTTCCCTCTCCAATCGGCCTCATAAACTGGCACCTCTGGCCCTAACTGTTGCCCTATGAAAAATTTCATCGCACGCCACTGCATAGAAGGTACTGGTGGGCATCCTGACACCAGCCTGGATATATTCATAATGAAGAAATTCTATTTAAAATGAGTATTTTCTTGAATTTATCAACAGCTAAGCAATCTGCATAATTGATTTGAAATGCTCCCTTTCCTTCCAAACACTGTAACTCCCTACCTTATTCTCACTTCACCTCCAGATTTATTATCTGCAATTTTAACATGCTGTTTACCTTCATTTCCTGATGCTAAATAAATATGTTAATTAAAAAATTCAAATCCCCGATGCACACCCTGGAAACACTACAATTTATAATTAACTTATTTATTTCCAAATTTGTAAATCGAACACTCATACCAGTCTCTGTGAATTTAGATCAACAGATTTTCAACACTGCCAAAAACTGTTTACATTCTTTCATTAGTTTTAAATCCATGTAGTAATCTTCATATCCAAGCTCATTTGAGTTACCTTTTTCCACGAAGACTGCACTTGGTAGGTTATCAAAATAACGTAATGAACTCCAGACATCTATATCAGACAAAATACCTGCAGACGCTTAATCTTTTTAAAATTAAGCTGCTTCATCAGTTATGCAAATCTCTTACATTTTGCATCAGCAAACCAATGGGCCATAACAAGTCTGTGGACTCTAATAAAATGGTAGGTAATTAGAGACATTCACAGAAATTGCAGCACAGATGTTTATCTAAAGTATTTGAGGCTCTTCAACTTTTTTGATGCTTATATTTTTATACCCTTGTATTTGAAGAGTCAAATAGTTTTCAGCCACTCGGTTTATAACATTGTAGAGCTTCTTCTTTTACAGTAAGCTAAAAATATTATATTGTCTAAACTGTTATTTCAAAAGTTCACTCAGAGTTAGTGATGAACCCTTGTATTCTGACAGAGTTCAACAGTGTTCTCCCTTTTCCCACGCAAAGTATCTTTAAACATATGGGTATTTGGCTTCATTGTTTTTAAAATAATTTCTATAGAATGTCTCCCTAAACTCTTCCCTGTGTGCTAGACTGTGCAGTTATTAACTTACCCCCTTTGTGTGCTGATGATACTTTTACAAGGGTCCTTTGGGAAAGCAAATCCAGAGCTTCTCACTTCCTTAATAAGACCTGGGCTTAAGGAAAGAGGTCCTTGTCAGTAAGACATAAAAATCCTTCAAATAATCAGACAACCTAGTGGTTTTGACCAGAGTTTTAACCTGACTGGGTTGGGGGGAAACTTTGTAAAAAGCGGGGTCTGACGCTGGGTGCAATACTTCAGCTTCACCAAGTCCAGCTGGGGTGTTATTGTTTGTGGTATCTATCCTACTCCATTCCAAGATAAGAAAGAAAGAAAGAAAGAAAGAAAGAAAGAAAGGAAGAAAGGTCTCTCCCACCTTCCACAGCAAGTCAGCAGGACTTAGGAAATAGTGGTAGCTCCACTCAGGGCTTTTTTTCAGCCAGAATTTGCCGGAACTCAGTTCCAGCACCTCTTAGGTGCGTGCCATTGCTATTATAAGAGAACAAAGAAGGCGTTCACAATGAGTTCCGGCGCCTCTTTTTCTAGAAAAATAGTACTGGCTCCACCACAGACTCTCCTACACACACACACACACACACACAATGACCACTCCCCGCTTAAAACGGGGGGTGCCCTTTGCGTGGACGCGCGCAGCCCCTAGATCTGGAGCGGCTCCAACAGCATAGGCTTGGTTTGCCTTCCCTCAGGTGGGATACCTGGAGGTCTCTGCCTACCTCAGTCAGTTGTCCAATCCCACCTGGGGGAAGCGTTGCCAAGGAGACCAGGCCAGGTAGGGGAGGGATTACCTGCCCACACAATAAAATAGTACTGGCTCCACCACAGACTCTCCTACACACACACACACACACACACACACACACACCATGATTGTTCTGCCAAAGTTTCAGAAAATTACTTCAGTCACAGCTGTTGACTATTATGCTTCACAAAACAATGGAAATCCCTAAACTCTCAAATTTTTAAAAGACTGAATCAAAATCAGTAACAGGAAACCACTTTGTAAGCCAGTCTTAGAACCTGAAAAATCATTAGGTATAATTAAGGCAGGCTTCATAGACTTCCAGCTTAGTGACCTTCATGAAATTCCCTGATATGACAGACCATTCTTATTCCTCTTTTGTAGCATATATTATAGGTGGATGAGGCTTAGTTGTCTACGCAACGCTTCACATACTCTGGCCTTTGATTAATTTACCACAAGCATTTGAAACGCAGGCATTTTCTTGCAACAGCTTTATGAAATAAAGCTTAACAGCAACAAAAATAAGTAATTTTTGGCCTGCTATGTCATCTGTTATAATTAATATTCATTGTAGTAGATTCCTCTGTTGGATAAACATTGTAACATATCACAAGATTTGCAGTTCATCTGTTTTCATAGTCAAATAAGAACAGGAACAGCAAGTGCCTTGACACAGAACCACAAGCATTTTGCTGACATACAAACAAGAAATATTCATGGAAAGCTGACTTTTTCCGCACAGTTATTCTGATGAATCAGTGTTTATGATGGATCCATTTCCTGCTCCTAGACACTTTTCCAGATGTATCCTACATGCTAACCCATCTGTGGTTTTATCCTGGATTAATCAGATATTTTACTCTCTCCTAGTTGTTTTGGCCTTCTGAATATAGAGCTGCAGCAAGTATTTTTTTCAAAGTTGTCTGGAACATATAGATATGTGGTTGCCAAACTTTTGAGGCTGGGGGGTACATTTGGAATTTTGAGAGACTGTCATTGACACCAGTCACAAAATGGCTGCCACAGGGGCCATGTCTTGGCACAAAATGGCTTCCCACAGACTTGGGAATACTGTTATTCTTTATAACAAAGCATGAATTGATTTGTTGACCTAATTGGTCAACATCGTTCAAATCCGAATTCAGACATGAAGTTCACTAGGAAATTTAAGATCAATCACTGTCTCTCAGCCTTACCTACTTCACAGAATTGTTGTGAGGATATAATGGAGTAGGGGAGAACAATGTATGCTGCCTTGAGCTGTGTGGAGAATATCATTATTATAATAAAATTTTAAAACATACACCCTTTTGGGCAAGAAAAAACAACAAGACAAGCCTCAAGGAAAGAGGAAATGTAGCCCATTTGCTGCTGCCTCCCACACTGTAAATCAAAATGCAAGAAACAGCAAGAAGGCAGCCATTTCTCTGCTAGTCATCAAAATGGCCTCCAGAGCTAGGAGGAAGCTAAAAGAAGAAGGAAGACAAACCACAAGTACAAAACCATCCCTGACATTGGTCACATGCAGCAACAAGTGTAGACACAACTCTTAACTAATTGAGTAATTGAGAATGGTAAATTACCATCCCATCCCTCTTAATTGGAGAGGGGCATAAGTTTGCAGCCACTGTTCTTATCCTTTTCCACCACACTCCCAATTCTGTCTTTCTTTTTTCCCTTTTACCTCATCATAGTTATGATGGCCTATGTGATGGCCTAGGAATCCGATTCAGAGGCTGAACCGGAGGAATCCCAGCCTGCACAGGAGTCCCCGCCTCCAGGGCCGTCTGAACTGGGGCAGGGCCTTGATTCTGAAGCGCCTGCACCTGTGCCGGATCCTCAGGAGCAGGCACCAGGTGAATCCACTCTGGCTCCGGAGGTGGTTGAGGACTCGGTGCCTACAGGTGAGTCTCCCCCTGGGTCCAGTAACCCTTCAGCCTCTCCTGAACTGCAGAGGCTCAGGGCAGAGAGGCGGAGGGAACTGGTTTCTCCCAGGAGGAGTGCTCGCCTTAAGGCCAGGAGAGGCGGGTCTCCTGGGGGCCGGGACCGCCCCTGGCCTCAGAGAAGATAAAGGCCAGTCAGCCCGGTCCCAGGTGGCGGGAGCAACGTCGTTGAAGAGCTGTTTCGGCCAGCACCCAGTCCGGTTCCCCCAGAGTTCCTGTCCTTGCCCAGCTCCTCGCTGTGGACCCTGCTTCGCCCGTGGAGGACTGTCTGCCAACCCTCGACTCAGGTCCTGGACCTCGCCCCACGGTAACCTCCCCCCTGGACCAGCACAGCCTAGCTCTTGAATCTGCTTGAATTATGTCACTACAACATAGGGCAAAGCACAGAGAAGTCCGTATCTGGGGCCATATAGGAAAGGGAAATCTGAAGGCTTTGCATAATAGTTTGGACAACTGTCCTAAATTCTTTTCCCCCACAATGGGCTGGCAGCAACAGTCCAGACGAAAATCCTAAGGGAGCACAGAAACCATTTTTGGCATTTCCCATGAGGTCAGCTTTCAATTGTTTTTACAAAATTCAACCACAAGAAATTATGAACTAGAAAACCAGTGAGGTTGTAGGTGTGTCTCTTTGACGGTACATTCTAGTGCACTATACTTGGAAACAGGTTCCATTAAGCTCAATGGGACTTACTCCTAGGTGTAAAAATGTGACCTTAACTATGTTTACGGTGAATTTATTGTATACAGTCGTACCTCGTTTTGCAGAGCCCCGGCCGCTATCCAAAAAGGACACAGGGCAAAGCACCGCACTTGTGCACGGAGTGATTTGCGCTTCTGCACATGCGCAAGCAGCAAACCTGGAAGTGACCCGTTCCAGTACTTCTGGGTTTGCCGTGGACGTTTGCCGGAATGGACACTAGACAAGGCGGATGTTTGCGGAGGTATTACTGTATTTCTTGATCTTGGTTTTTGTTAGTAACTTGCTTATTATTATTTTTGTGTAGTAATGTGGGATTTAAAGACCAGACTTTGAAAATGTGACACTAGTCCAGGAGAATCACTGAAGCTATTTCATTATTCACTTGGCTTAACTCTGGGATTGAGAAGTACTGTAAAAAAAAACTACATCACAGAGCTGTGGAGTCTCAGGACCACCATTTCTCAGTGGCCCCTGCAATACCCACCTGTGACCTAGAGAACAGGGTTGGTTTCCTCCCAAGGAGAAAGGACTAGAACCTTGGACCAGGCATGTAATTGCTGGTGAAGCACCCAGGGGGCTCTCAAAGGGGGAGTGGAAGATCCTTAGTAGTAATTTAGAATCAAATAAATAATGTAACTTTGTTAATTTACATTTACTTGTGTGATACAAAGTGAATAGGGGTTTTCAGTTTAGAGTTTTGTTGATTATTGATCATAATTGCTAAAAAGAAAATACAAAATGTGAGTGAAATATGCATGGTTATTGCCATCAAAGAAACATTTCACATCCCAAATCCTAGCACTGTCTTTTTCATATAACCACAGTTTGTGCACAAAGGCAAAATAAATATTTCAATCAATATTAAGAGTATTGCTGTGTTTTTTTTAAAAAAATTGTGTGTTAAAGCCTGTGCAAGATCTATGCTGGAGTGGACAACAGTTGCATAGCCTGTTCTTCACAGCCAGCTGGCATACTCTTCAGGGGTAACTGATGCATTAAATTGTAAAAATGACGCTTTTCTGTTGTTTTGGACAAACTATGAAAACAAGGAATTTGAGGGGCCAAATTTTCCTTGGCAAAGCTTCAGTCCTCATACTCCAGTCCAGGTGAGGCTCCTAAAATGTATTTTCCTTTATTGAGAGCGAAAGGTTGAGGGGAAACATTAGGGGGGGAAACATCTCCCTGTATGTTCTGCTTGACAAAATTATATTGAATGTGATTGAATTGTACTAACACAAAAGCAGAGCTCAGTTTTAAAAATCAAGTTAACCAGTGTGTCTTGACATTCTTAAAATGTGAGGAATGTCTAAAATAGTACTAGGATCTCTCTCTCTCTCTCTCTCTCTCTCTCTCTCTCTCTCACACACACACACACACACACACACACACACACCACTCACACCACTCACACCCTCCTTTACGTTACCCTGAGGATCAAATTAGACAGTAATGTGTCTAATATGCAATGGATTTTTAAAATGCTAATTGTATCAGAGAGGGGGGACAGATAATTACTAGAATCAGAAAAGCCACAAAGATAACATATAAGCTTTTCTTCCTATGTTGTGGTAGCTGAGGAAAAACCCTGTTCTGAACCTGCTGCAAACAAGGGATTTTCTCTCAATGCAACTACCTTCAGAGAAGGGATTTTTCGCAAGAAAAAGGGGGAGAGAGAGTTAACTTCCCTCTTAATGCTTGCTCTGATCCTATTAATTACCAGTCCGCTCCCCCTTCCCAAAGCATTTTCCATTGTTTAAAACCTGCATGTGAAATGCAAAGACACATTTAATGTCACATCTAGTTGGACCCTGAGGTCATTGTAGAAAGGGCAGGAACAAATGAAATATTAAGTCTATACAACAATTTTCTATTATTAAATAATTGTTTTGAAACAACCAAATATATAAGCTTCTTGCTTCTTGATTAACTGCATATCTTTGAGATGTGCTGCTCTTACGGCACACTCCTGAGAGATGTTGACCATTAATGGCCAGCAACTACTGTATATTCAGCTAGGGCCACCCTTTGCAAATGTGGTGCCCTCCAGTTGTTTTGAACTGAAACTTCCATCATCTTTGACCACTGACTCTCCTGCTTGGAGCTGATGAACGCTGGAGGCCAACAACATCCAGAAGCCGCCATGTTGGGGAAGGCTGATCTAGGAAGTGCAGCAGCCAAGCAATTGGACCATTTCATGACACACCTGGAAATTACTGGGTGAGGTCTCACTTGGACTTATTCTGCAAGGTCACCTCCAGTTCTTCCATTTGAAAATGGGAACTTGAGCTTCTAGAATAGAGAAATCAAAGGAACTGGATTTGCTACTAAACACTTCACTCCTGTTTAATTATAGACCTGAACTGGGGTTTTTAAAAATTAAAATAAACAAAGAAATACTTGTTAATGAGTGGCATTAAAATGCTGTTAATAAATAAGGATAATTAAACCCTTCAAAACTATCTAGCACACCCTCAAATTTCTGGAATGCCTATTTTTAGAGACCACAAGTGTTTCCTGCCTGATCTTTGACCTTGAACTATGCAGTAAGATTATCAAGCCACTGCTACCAGTTACTGAACTCTGCCTCCCAAATGCAAATAGGATGAAAGCAAGGCTGATTGTCAGCTATTTCTCTCATCCCATGGCCAGAGGCATAAAGATCAAAAGTAAAGAAGAAAAAGGAGCAGGGTCACAAGCTGTTGCATCAGCCAGTGACCTCCCCTTCAAACAGCATATACTGAAGATCACTAAAGTGGATTATTTCACTCTCAACACCCTTAACAACAATGAACAGTGAAACCACCAGCAAAAGGTTTAAAAGGGTAAAGTGGATTAACTTGAACCAGACAGTTAAATCTAAGATACGTGTGATCATATTTACATTCCATGGTAGAGTGTTTCAGTGTCCATCTCCACAGAGCAGTACTTCACAGCCATTTGTGATCACTCCATTTAAAATTTTCTCTTCATTTTTCACACAAAAGCCCCATATTTAATTCTGCTCCCTTATTACCTCCCTCCCTCAATCTGCCCTCTCCTATCCTACCCCTCTTCACACGATATTCCTCCTGCCACAAATAACTGAAGGAGGGAAATAAGATAGGTTTTCAGAATAGTTCAAATCCATGTGTTATATCCCACACCTTGGGTTTTTGTTTTTGTTTAGGTATGATATAGTATTCTCAAACTCACAAGCAACAATGGTCAGCCTTTGTGGGGTACATGTGATACAAAGAGGAGGTACAAAATACTAGACACTGCTACTCTACCGTGTGCTTCAGACTACAGACCACTCCAAAAGTATGGGAATTGTTTCTTATTTAGTCTACTGAGCCAGAGAGCAGGTGGCAGCACAATATGGGAGACTCTATGAAGGAGAACTGGAATGGCTGTAGCATAGCCAAGTAGCGGCAGACCTTGGGGCCTCTAATTCCAGTGGTACCCTCTGTGACACCTAAATTTGGTGCTCCCCCTGCCTCTCGCCTTCTATTCTACACCATAGTTGTGACACCCCCAAGGCTTGTGCTACCCTAAATCTGCCTCTGAGCCAGGTCCAGAGAAGTGCCACAGTCTCCAGTTGCCACCTGCTGCTGCTGAGGGCCTGGGTCCTGCTCTTCAAAAATCAGAAGATACTTCCACATAATATAATAAAAAGGACCACAGTCCTAATGCACACATTTGCAAAGCAGAAAAATCGCTTCCACCAGAAAATCTCTAACCCAATCTTCCCCTACACACACAATATTATTTTATGTTAATAGTAGTATTAGTAGTAGCAAATTTATTACCTGCTCTTCACCAGCAGTCCTAGGCCATGCTACAACATTCAACATTAACCATTAGCCAATGCAGCTGTTTTATAACAGGGGTTATATGAGTTATAAGGCAATTGGCTAATGCATTTTGGACCTGTTGGAGTTTCCAAGTCATCTTCAAGGGAAGCCCTCATGGAGAGCTCTTTGCAATAATCCAATCCGGAAGTTACCAGCACATGAAGTGCCATGACCAAGTGATATTTGTCCAAAAGAAGCTGTTGCTGGCAAATC